AAAAAAACCCACAGACTGATGAAATCCCAGAGTGGACGAGACCCAGGTATCCAAAAAGGAAAGATAATCAGCAACTCAGGGTGCTTCCAGAATTCCCGTCAGCTGTAAAGAATGGCTGGTTGACACATCCTTTGTACTGCTGCAAACTGACAGTGCAAAGTGTGGCTCTGTGAGGGTGCTGCAAACAGAGCTAGGTTTTTTGTAATGGGATAGGAAAAAAAACACCAATGGAAATAAAATAAAAATTCTAAAAAATGAGACTTTTATGAATCCAAATTCCAAAAAAAGTGAATAAAGTCACTTGGTTAAAGCAATGCTTCCCATAACGCTTTACCCAGCAAATTAAACACCTCCCTGATCCCCAAATGGGTTTGACACTGAAAGAGGGGAGATGGAGCTGAGATGTGGGGAAGAACTTGTTTGGTGTGAGGGTGGTGAGAGCCTGGCCCAGGTTGCCCAGAGAAGCTGTGGCTGCCCCATCCCTGGAGGGGTTCAAGGGCAGGTTGGAGGGGGCTTGGAGCAACCTGGTGTGGTGGGAGGTGTCCCTGCCCAGGGCAGGGGGTTGGAACTCCATGATCTTTAAGGTCCCTTCCAACCCAAACCATTCTATGATTCTTTGATTCACCCATGCCTGTCTCAGTAGCAGCAGTGTTTTCTGCATTTCGGACTATCCATAAATTCCCTCTGGGTAAGAACTTCATTACAGGAAACCTTCAGCTTTGCTTAGGGCTAATAGGAACGGAAAAGCTTCTTAAATACTACCCATGCCTTAAGCTTGATAAGGTTTCGCAGCAACTTGTCTGCATACCAAGCAAACCATTCAAGCTGACCAAAAATAAACATCATCAGCCATTTATGCTGAAGTTTTGGGTTTTTTTATAGAAAAATTAAAATGAATGAATGGTGTTTGGGGAAAAAAAAAATAACCATCAAACAGACATAATCTTGCACTCGCTGAGCCTCTCCCATAGCTCATCAGCTTAATATAGTCAAAGGCCTTAACAATTATTAGAAAAAGTATGCTGGTACAGTCCAGGCACCTTTAGAACTCTAAACCATGTCAAGGTAACAGGCTACTTTCAGCACTATTTGCAAGGAAAATACAACAAAATACCCACAGTCCCCATTCTCCCTTGCAGCCATCTCCATCAGCCTTTCCTCCAGTTGCCTCACTCCGCTGGCCTCTCTGCACACAGACAATTCCATTTTATACCGTATTAGACTCTTCTAGGCAGAGCTTAACCAATCAAACTCGGAGATGACTCCACTGCTTACGGAAAAAAAAACCACAGACTGATGAAATCCCAGAGTGGACGAGACCCAGGTATCCAAAAAGGAAAGATAATCAGCAACTCAGGGTGCTTCCAGAATTCCCGTCAGCTGTAAAGAATGGCTGGTTGACACATCCTTTGTACTGCTGCAAACTGACAGTGCAAAGTGTGGCTCTGTGAGGGTGCTGCAAACAGAGCTAGGTTTTTTGTAATGGGATAGGAAAAAAAACACCAATGGAAATAAAATAAAAATTCTAAAAAATGAGACTTTTATGAATCCAAATTCCAAAAAAAGTGAATAAAGTCACTTGGTTAAAGCAATGCTTCCCATAACGCTTTACCCAGCAAATTAAACACCTCCCTGATCCCCAAATCTACAGCAAGAACTGGGAGTTACAAGTAGAGAAAAGCAGCCTCTCCCTGAGAAAGGAGAAGGTGCTACCGACTCCCATCCAGCACCTGCAACGTCATTTGCCTCTGCTTCTGCGGGGATTAAGTTTCCATTGCTGAGCTTCACCAGTGTATCTGGGTTGGGCTTTTTGGGTTTTATATAAACCAAATTTTGATTAGTCCATTTGCTGAGCTGACAGCATGGTTACAATCTGTGGGAGTCCCTTGGTTTGACTAGTGCTGAATCGCAGATGAATATAGTCAAAGGCCTTAACAATTATTAGAAAAAGTATGCTGGTACAGTCCAGGCACCTTTAGAACTCTAAACGATGTCAAGGTAACAGGCTACTTTCAGCACTATTTGCAAGGAAAACACAATAAAATACCCACAGTCCCCATTCTCCCTTGCAGCCATCTCCATCAGCCTTTCCTCCAGTTGCCTCACTCCGCTGGCCTCTCTGCACACAGACAATTCCATTTTATACCGTATTAGACTCTTCTAGGCAGAGCTTAACCAATCAAACTCGGAGATGACAAGCAAATGGCATTTCTCTGTCAATAACAGAAAATATGCACATGCTTAGATGGGCTCATTACGTCCCACGCAGCTCAACAGTAGCTTAATTGCCTTTGCAGCTTCTCCCCAAATTTCCTCTGCTGGCCTGTGTGTCCTCTCCTCCCACTCCCAGTTTTCAAGGGAGAGTCACAAACGTACCTGTAAGGTGCTGGTTAAAAAGTTGTCCTGAGAAATAATGTCCACAAAAAAATCAGCTGGGATTTCACCGAGCTGGTGATACAGCACAGAAATGAGATTGATGTAAAGGTCTTGATACTTCCCGATGGCATCTTCAGATCGGCACAGGATGTTCAAGAGTCTTTTCCAGTGCTCAAACGCATCATACACATTCCCGATCAGGAAGCAGATGAAAGCAAACTGCAACTCAGCTGCACGTATTCAGCAAAGAAAAACAAAACAAAACACACATGAGACTAAAACCATATCGAAGGTACGTGTCCTTTCGAAAGCCCTGTAAATGATTGCATTAAACGCTGGGTTTGCCTTTTGCACATGCATTCTGTCCTTCCAGCGATTCTGCTAATGGCAATCAATACTCCAAATGCTATTTCCTAGGGCTCTGCTCTTCAGCTGGAGAAAAAGCAAAGCATAATTGGGCAAGTCTTCCTGTAACTGTGATTATCATCTTTGGAGAGTGACTTTCTGGCAGAGTACACAGGACTTACAGTGTCACCTGTGTTCCCAGAATCACACTCCAACAATGAAGTCAGACATTGCTGTTATTCTGCAAGCACTCACTCCACTTGTGCCCGGGTTTCCAGAGCCACACGGGAGTGCAAATGCTACTGCCCTTGAATGCAAGGGCTGTGGAACCACTGGGAGAGGTGAGCAGGACATTAACAGATGTTTTTATCTGGTTGAATTAAGAGCCAGGGTTCATCTCACTTGATGTTCAGCATCAGCTGTGATCAACATCAGAACAATGGCATTCTCTAAGGTAATTCGTTCATTGTATACCCTAGAGCTGTCCTTGATAATATCAATAAAGAATAAATTGTATAATATTAATATAGAGAAAAATGGAAGAATGTAAAAACAAAGGCTTATTCCAAACCTCAGGAGCCTTGAGGCTCCAGCTCAGCTGGGTTTCCAAGCCCTCCCTCCATCCTTCCGCAGAACAGAACCTCCACAGGCAGTTCAGGACCTCCACAGATTTGATACTCATTCATATCACAAGTTGCCAAAAATGGCTGGCAAGTAATTAAGCCCCTGGGAAGGGGAGCTGCAGGCCTCGCTGTGGATGTCTCCTGCAGCAGGGCTGGCAAACCCCGGTACTGCCACCCAGAGTCGCCAGCAGCACGCGGGTGGCCAGGGAGGGGACCAGCCACTGCCTTGGGAACCCCCTGCTGGGAGGCCCCATACCACTGAAATGGGAACAAGAACCTGAAATTTGCCACACTCAGCCCCGTTCAGTGCTCCCAGGACCCTGTAAGCTCCGTCTTCAGAGATTCACTTAATGGGCAGATTGCCAGGCTGGTGCCAGATGACAGACCCCCTTTGCAGGAGATGCAGCTTATGGCCACCTGCAATTGCTGCTTTTGACTTAATCTGAGACAATCTGGGCACCCAGGAGCAAGAGGAGCCAATGTGGCAGGCTGGCAGGTCCGGACACCAGCACAACCGGAACAGGCCCTGTAGCTGCTAAAAACTCCCCAAACTTCCATCTTGTGATTAAGAGAGATGTTTCAGAGCACCAAAGGACAGTCCCCACAGAACAGGCACAGGTTTCACCCCGGGGCTCTCATTTTACAGAGAAATTACTTTATTCTCTGAAGCAGGAGTGGGTACAGAGGAGGGCAAAAATAATCAGAGGGCTGGAGCCCCTCTGCTGTGAGGGGGGGCTGAGAGAGCTGGGGGAGCTCAGCCTGGAGAAGAAAAGGCTCCAGGGAGACCTTTGAGCCCCTTCCAGTCCCTCAAGGGGCTCCAGGAAAGCTGGGGAGAGACTCTTGGTCAGGGAGGGGAGCCCTAGGAGGAGGGGGAAGGGTTTGACACTGAAAGAGGGGAGATGGAGCTGAGATGTGGGGAAGAACTTGTTTGGTGTGAGGGTGGGGAGAGCCTGGCCCAGGTTGCCCAGAGAAGGCTGCCCCATCCCTGGAGGGGTTCAAGGGCAGGTTGGAGGGGGCTTGGAGCAACCTGGTGTGGTGGGAGGTGTCCCTGTCCAGCGCAGGGGGTGGCACTGGGTGGGATTTAAAGGTCTCTTCTAACCCAGGCTATCTATGAAAGCACCCCAATGCTCTACCCAGCGACACGCAGTACCCACCGAGCAGATCCAGGGGCTGGCTGGCGTACCGCTGGTCAATCACCTTCTCCAGCGTGTAGCTGAGGTCCATGCTGTGCCTGGTGATCTCCTCCGGGGTAGCACCGTCGGGGTACATCTGCTTGGGCAGCTCCGTGAACCTGATCTCGGTGCCGGCCCTCGGCTTCATCTGGGGCAGGCGCGCCATGCCCTCGGCGTAGCTCCGGCACCCGGCGTCGAAGCGGGGCAGGTGCTGCTCCTCCCGGTCCCTGGTGTGCCGCCCGGCCGCCACCGGCAGCACCTCCGAGAAGGCGCAGATCCGCCCGCTCTCCGGCTGCAGCTTCTTCATGGCCCCTTCGCTGATGAAGCTGGTGAGGGAGACCCACTTCTTCAGGGTCTCGTAGGGGTAGGGCCCCAGGAAGGGGTCCATCTCCTGCAGGTTCTCCCGGAAGGCCTCGGCCTCCCCCGCCGCCGCCAGCCCCACCGCCTCCCCGGCGGGGTCCCAGCGCAGCACCCGCACCTCCCGCCGCTGCAGGCTGAGGAAGAAGCCGGTGCGCGGGCCCGTCTCCCGCCCGCCGCCCGCCCGCCCCGCGCTGCAGTGCAGGAAGTGCAGGCCCGGCGGGATCATCTTGACGCCGCGGAACCGGGGCCCCACGGTCCAGGTGCTGTAGTCGATGCCGAATTCGGTGCCCTGGGGGACGCCCAGCACCACCACGGCGGCGCCCTCGAAGAAGAGCTGCCGGGCCAGCTCGGGGTCCAGCCGCGGGGCCGCCATGGCAGGGCCGCTCCTCAGCGCCCGGAACCTACCAGCGCTCCCGGTCCTACCCGAAAAGCGCCCGGGCGGCACGGCGGGTCCGGGCACGGCGGGTCCGGGCACGGCGGTTCCGCCTCCCCAGAAACCAAACGCCGCCGTTGTTCCCCTCTGTCCTCCCCGGGCTCCTCCGCGGCTGCTCCGCTCGGGCCCATTGTCCCTCAAAGGCGGTCTCAGTCCCCCCAGGCCCCCCCAGCTGCAGCCATTCCCCCGGGCCCCCCTGCAGCAGGACAGACACACAGAGACCCTCGAGTGAGACGTACGTGGAAGACCTCTCAGCAGGACAGCTCATAGAGTCACAGAACGGTTTGGGTTGGAAGGGAACTTTAAATCCCACCCAGTGCCACCCCCTGCCCTGGGCAGGGACACCTCCCACCACACCAGGTTGCTCCAAGCCCCCTCCAACCTGCCCTTGAACCCCTCCAGGGATGGGGCAGCCACAGCTTCTCTGGCCAACCTGGGCCAGGCTCTCCCCACCCTCACACCAAACAAGTTCTTCCCCACAGCTCAGCTCCATCTCCCCTCTTGCAGGGTCAAACCCTTCCCCCTCCTCCTAGGGCTCCCCTCCCTCATCCAGAGTCCCTCCCCAGCTTTCCTGGAGCCCCTTGAGGGACTGGAAGGGGCTCTAAGGTCTCCCCGGAGCCTTCTCTTCTCCAGGCTGAACCCCCCCACCTCTCTCAGCCCCCCCTCCCAGCAGAGGGGCTCCAGCCCTCCCAGCATCTCCAGGGCCTCCTCTGGCCCCGCGCTAACAGGTCCCTGTCCTTCTTAACCCCCTCCCAGCACCACGTCCTCCCTCCCAGGATGACAGAGAGAGTCCAGCTCCTCAGGGACAGCTGCCACCTCGCAACACCTTTTGAGCATCCTCACAACCTCCTTCGCTGCCCCACGCCTGCGTACGAGGGTTGGCAGCCACTGCATGACACTGCTCCCAGCTCCACCAGCCGCAGTGCCCAACCTGGCAGCATCCTCATCTTCCCTTCAGATCAAGCAGAGTTTGGTTGTGGGTTGTAAAGTATCTTCATGTGCGAGACCCTAGTTGCAAGATCCGCCCTCCACTTCTCCACCCTCTTGGCAGGAAAGAGTCCACCAAGGCCCCAAGCTGATTTAGCATCAAACACATTTATTTCACCTTTATTGAATACAAGAACAGTGAGCACACACGCATACACCACCGAGCACTGAAAAGGAGTATGACCGAAGGGGGGAGAGGGAGAACAAGGGAAGAGAAAAGGAGAGTTAGTGAAGGAACAACAGAGCGTTGCAGTTGGTTGGTAAGGTGCTTCTCAAATAAAAATAAATATTATTATTATTGTTACTGTTATTATTACTCATGCAATCGCAGGCCAGGTTTGGAATGAATTTGTGGGATCAGGTAAAAACAGGCACTCGTGTCTCCCACCCCTTTCAACAGAAAGGCCCCTGGAAGAAACCAAGCCGTGATCAGCTCTGGAACGGAGCACGGTGATGGGCAGGCTGGGGGAGCTGAGCCCGCGGGGGCAGCAGTTGTTGCTGAGCAGCAGAAACCCACACCTCGCCAGGCAAACAAGCAGTGAGCTTTTTTTCTTTCCTTTTTTTTTTTTCTTTTAATTTTATTTTATTTTAAGTTTTTAAACACTGCCACCCATTAAACACGCTGCGGGAGCCGGGGACTGGATCTGCTCACTCCAAACATAACTCATTTCAGTCCAAGCGCACATCAAGTCTAACTCTGTAAGGCCACTAATTTTAACAGTAACCTTCGGTTTTATAACTACACAACCTCAAAAGCAAGTAGCTAGTTTCACAGTAGCCTCTGGTGGGTCGCAAGGTGTCAAGGCCAGATTGGCATGGGCATGGAACACGCCGTGTGCTGAAGATGACCAGCACCAGGAGTCCTGTGCCACCCCTCCTCTCCCTCTGAGAGTGCCACTGCTGATCACAGCTGGTTTGGGTGTATTGGGAAAAAAAAAAAAAGCAAAAGAGAAAAGAGAGAAAAGGAGCCTGTTTGCAACTGCCTTAACTCTTTTTTGGTTGGGGGTCTGGTCTCTAAAGGTAGCTGAAGGTGCTCAGGTGGAAGCTGGGGAGACCCTCAGGAGCTGGCAGCGCTGGGGCCAGCCAGCAACTCTGGCCACGTCCCAAGCAGCCTGTGCCCCCACCTTTCAGGCTGGCAGGAGAAACCTCTCTGCCAGGAGGAGAACAGACTTCACGGGGACATACTCGCAAGCACCTGGTGAACCGTGGCTGCCAGGGAGCAGGGTCTCTCCTGGGACAGCAGAGGTGGTGAGCGGGGTCTGCCCGCAGCATCCTCGCGGGGCAGGCTCTCCTGCTCGCTGTCCTCCTCCGAGCCACCACAGAGCCTGGCAAAACACGTTTATTTCTGGGCAGGGTCTGTGTGAGGGGTGAGAGACTAAAGGCAAAATGGTGCAGAATTCGTGGGCCCTTCTGTTTCCGCAGGAGCTAGAGACGATTCCTAGAAGGAAACCCGTTTTATTTCCTTTCCTTTCTGATTTTGGTTCCAAGTCTACCCTAACTGCCTGGTTCACAGTGTACGAGGCCCTGGGCTTGGCCCATGATCCCCTTCCAAAGGCAGCCGGCGAGGAAGCCAGTGGCTAAAAGCCGAGCTGGGATGAGCTGGGGGAAGGCAGCTCCACTGACATCTCCTCCACAGGCGCCTCCTCGTGCAGAGGGCCTGAGCTCTCTCCTCCAGCCTGGGATGCTGGGAACGCTGTGCAGGGATGGAGACAGCTCGGTCTCTCCACTGCCCAGCTCCAGGCAGGCCGGGGAAGGACTGCCATTGCCCCACCATCGCTGTCACTGGCCCTTGCCATCACACCCCGGGCAGCGGGGGAGGCTGGGCAGAAACAACCCCTCTGCCTTCCACCCTACTACAAAGCTCAAGGATCTTCATTACTGGAATCCAGAAACAAAGCAAAACCACCCCAACCACTGGCACGGCTCAGTGGGCTGGAGAGGAGCGAGGAACGTGGTCCTGTGGCTGCCACCTTGCTCCCAGCCGACCCCCGTGGCTCTGGGTGGGGGCCGGGGAGACCATCGTCCCTACACAGCCTCAACCTCCTTCCCTGCCCCTCCAAGTCACCACTGACCCTCCAAACCCCATCACCATCCCCTGCAGACCAGCTGGCGGGACATCTCCCGTCTCTCGCCCTCTCCCCGTCCTCTCCCCGAGAACAGCAGCGTCTGAAACCTTCCCGGTTCTTGCAGGACCGAGAGTCCCACGAGTGATCTAAGAGTCTCAAAATACACCAACCACAGTCAATCAAAGAGTTAATAATTTAAAAATGTCGTCATCATATTTACCAGCACTGTTGAATTATTTCAGTATTGTTCCCTCCCTCCCCCCTCGTTATATATAATAATATACATAACTTAAATGCACATCCATATGAAACCCCTACAGGCTGCTTTTTTATAAATGAGAAACCATATACATATCATTTGCTTTGTGTGAAATGAAATCCATTCTTTAAATACCTTCAGAGAACAAGAGGTTGGACAAGTGCACAGAGAAGAAGATCAGGAACAGAAGGGGAAGAGTTAACATAACCCCAAAAGATGCAAAAGAACCAGCGTGGAATGAGAAGGGCAAAACGACACTTGCAAATTGGAAAATAACTCTAAGGTAACAAATTCAATGTTTTTCTCTCTTCTTTCCAGAGGTGGGGAATGGTTTTGCTTCTGCTTGTGGTTTTTTTTTATTTCAGTTTGCTTATTTCTTGCTTTGTTGCAAAGCAGTTTTCCTTTCCATTCAGTGTGCAACAAATGAACTCATGATTGTGTATCCTTTAATGTAACATGCAAGATGGTGGCTTATTGTATTGTTAACAATATTATTGTTGTTATTATTATGATGTTTTAAATCTTATCTTATCACCAATCCAGTAAATTCTTCAATTTATCTGCAGAGGGTTGGCTTTGTTTGTTGGTGGTGTTGTTTGCTATTCATTTCCAGCATTTAGCAGCAGTGCAAGGATGCATTTTGTTTCCTGTTTTTATATATATATATATATATATGTATGTATGTATATATATATATAATATATTTGCTATTCCTTTTTTAAAAATTTTTGTCTCTCGCCATGAACATTGCAGCCAGGATGTCTATGTCTTGCTGACAAATCCAGCATGAAGGCTCCTTCTCCGCTGTTCTCCAGGTTTGAACACAGATGCCGACTTCCATCAACATGTTGGTCAAGATTCCTGTACCAGGCAGATGGAAAGGACCAGTCATGGGTGTGTGAGTGTGTGCGTGTGATCTCTTTGGCTATAAAAGGGCTCCTCTTTGTATGAGGGCACTGGAAAGTAAATTTGCAAAGACCTGGGGCTGCAGTTTGCAGTTAATTAGCAAGAACTCTCAGTTCACTGGGCTGGGGTTGTGTACGGGGGAGATAATGGTGAGTCACTGCTCCCGTACTTTAAGCCATTCATTTAACACTGAGTGGCTCCCCAGGTGGTGCACAAGTGTCTGGGCTTGCTTGTTTGTAATGGGCGATAGGAGGTAAGATTAGACACATGCAAGAGCCTCTTCTGACCTTCCAAGCTGCAATGGAGCTGGTGGCTTTTCCAAGCTTAAAAGCCATCAATCGAAATCTTCATATGATAAAGCAACACGACATCGCATTTCCAAATGTCCCTGCAGCCTGGCTGGTGACAGAGCTCCCCACACCTTTTTGAGCAGTGAGGCTCCCCTTCTCCTTTCCACCCCCCTCCTCTGCCCCTCAGCAGCTCCGACACACACATCTACTGGGCTGTGCCACCACCCAAGACCTGCCCTGACCTGGCTGATGGGGCAGCAGCGGGTTCAGAGTTGGGGGCTGGGAGTGGGGCAGGGTTTTGCCCTGAAGAAAAATGTCTTTGGGGCACCTGCGGGGAGGTGCAAACCTTGTGTGCTGCTGTGTGCTCTGTGTGTATAAAAAGACAACCCGGGGATCTGAATGGGACTAAAGAAACCCCCTTTTTTTTTTTTTTTGTTTGTTTTACAAACACTGGTCTGATACTTTGGACTGGCTTTGCAGAACCTGTGGCCAAGTTCCTCAGCCCATCCACAAACGCATCACCTCTTTCCCTCCCTGCCCCAGGGGGAGAAGGAGGACCTTTCTTCTTCACATGCAAATGACTCTGACCCCTTGGCTGAGCAGGACAGCAAGGTGACATCTGCAGAAGTGCTTTTTGTGGCATGGCATCAGCTTTCTAATCACAGCCAGGTGGCTGTGCCTGGAGCCACCATCGCACTGGAACTGCTGGCCAAGAGCTGCCACTCCTAGTGCCGAGGAGCAGCAACCTGGAGCCGGTGGGGACCAGAGAGACTTGCCCAGTTACAGCCACCCCTTACAGATCAGCTATAAATCATACTAGGGAACTTCTCCACCTACCTGAGGTTTCTTGTCCCTTTCCTCTGGAGAAGGTTCTGTTTCTCTGTACACCACAGCTTTGGTTACCAGCATGTCGGGATGCTGTAGTTTTGCCTCTTTGATTGCTAAAGCCAGTGCCTAGAGACCAGGAGGATGAAAGTATTTGTCGTCACCTCCCTGAAATCTGGCCCATGGCTCCCAGCCAGACAGAACCAGTGGACACAAAACTGGGATTCCAGGAGGACACGGAGGCAGAGGTTCAAAGCTGAACCCACAGCAGCCTGGCAGAGGAGGCTGGAGCCCACCACTGATGGGGGGTACGTACACCATTGGGATGCATCGTGCACTGCCTTTCTCTTGCCTTTTATTTTTCTGTAGAGACAGGCTACGTCCCCGGCTCCCTACCCAAACCCAGGCAAAGCAACGGCAGTGATTCTCTCTGCAGCAAAACCCTAGAGCAGGGGGGTTGGAACTAGAGGATCTTTAAGATCCCTTCCAACTCTACCTATTCTATGATTCTATAAAAATTTACAATAATAATCTAATTAAATTTATGTTTATAATTCTAAAAACATATAAACATTATTTAAAAGCCTTTTAAATAAAATTTTTAATACATTTTTTAAATACTTTTTTTTTCAATTTTTCTTCTTAAGCAACAAATTCCAAAGGGTTAGGCCACAGGAAAATTACCACGTAGCCCCAGAGATTTGTGTCAATCTCTGTTACTTCATCATAAAAGTTTGTCGCTTTTTATTCCTCTATCACAGAGGCAGATGCAAAACACCATCACTTGGAGCCACTCAACCTGTAGTGGCACTGTGCTGGAAAGGGAGGAAGAACTTGGGTCACTTTGGAGTGTTTCAACAGAGAAAGGGCAATTGGAAACGTGTTTCAAGAAAATCAAAAGGTGATCCCATCACCGGGCTCCATGCTGGGATGTAACCTTTACTGCTCCTCCACTGCTGCACGGATGGGATGGCAGCTGGGATGGGGCTTCCCCTGGGTGCCACTGCACCAGTGGGGACCTGCACTGCCGATAGGTTTGGGGTGTCAGGGTCAGTGTTTGGAGAGAAGGAGTAAACAGGTATGAGCCAGAACCAGAAGCATGCGGGACTGCAGCCAGGGACAGCCAGAGCCAGGCAAAGCCAGGGCGTCCTGCTCCTACCTGGTCCTGGTCCACGTCTTCATCTCCTGTGATAATGATGCGCTTCTCTATTCGGGTCTCAGAAAACCCTCCTTTCACAGTCTGCAGAACGAGAAGAAAAGCACTCACCCACAGCCCTCCCACAAGCCAGCTCTGGGGGATGCAGCTCTGCCTGCGGGTGGAGGGACAACGCCAGCACCACCAGGAACACCCCCCATAATTTAGTGCATCTCCAACTACCCTTGACGTGGTGCATGGTTGGAACCAGCGAGACACAGCTGGCCATGGGTGGGGAGGAAGGTTCAAGAAGGACAGGGAACTGCTGGAGAGGGTACAGCAAAGAGCTATGAAGATGATGAGGGGACTAGAACATCTCTCTCATGAGGAAAGGCTGAGGGACTTGGGTCTTTTTAGTCTGGAGAAGAGAAGACTGACCAATGCCTATAAATACTTGAAGGGTGGGTGTCAGGAGGATGGGGCCAGTCTTTTTTCAGTGGTGTCCAGTGACAGGACAAGAGGAAATGGGCACAAACTTGTGTATAAGAAGTTCCACCTAAACACGAGGAGGAACTTCATTCCTGTGAGGGTGGCAGAGCCCTGGCAGAGGCTGCCCGGAGAGATGGTGGAGTCTCCTTCTCTGGAGACATTCAAACCCACCTGGACATGTTCCTGTGGGACCTGCTCTGGGTGGACGTGCTCTGGCAGGGGGTTGGACTGGATGATTTCCAGAGGTCCCTTCCAACCCCTATCATTCTGTGACTCCATGAAAAAGCCTGGGAACAGGTACCGAGCACCCCTCCTTCCTTCTCAGGTCCCTCTCTGAGCTTCTGCTTTGATTTATGTGCACTTAATTTGGGAATGAAATGGCCAAGGGTGAGTGAGGTCCTCTGATGCAGCCTCATCTCCTTTGTTTCCTACCGTTTCCAACCTTCCACCTTCCAGCTCTAACAGGCCTAAGACAAGGTGAGATGCTCCAGCAGTGGTGCTGTGTGCTCCTTGGGCCAGGGGGACCTGGAGAGTCTGGCTGTAGGTACATGTGGGAACACTCACCCCACCTGCATGGGCAGGGACTGGCACGCACGCTGCTGGCAGCCTAATTCTGAGTCCCTTCCACTGTGACCGTTGGCTTCAGGAGGTCAGTGACATCCTGCTGCTCTCCTTTCTCCCCTCAATGACTCCCTGCCCTGCAGGGCTGAGCCGGGCACGGGGCGCTGGGCTGGCTCCATCCCCCACGGGACAGAATGCACTTTTTCAGCTTGTGTCCTGGATTGAGCGACACGGGACTAATTTCTGGCTTAGTGCATGGGAAAACTACACTTCTAGAAGACTCTGGTGTCTGAATGTGTGAAAATCTTTCCTTCATAGCCAGCCGGGCTCCGTGGGATCCAAGGTCTCGGTGTTTTTGAGCCTCTCCAGGAGCAGGATGAGGAGGAGCGAGACCCGGGCACTTGACCCAGGCTGCCAACAGGGCTGGTTCATACCATGAACACCACATTCAGTAGAAATTAGAAAGTTTGCTGCGTAGTGCCCTCTCGCTCGATGGTGGTGGGTCCAGAGAACTCCTTGCCCCGGTGCCAGAGCCCTGAGCCCTTCCCTTCCTCCTGAAGCCGCAGCGCTCACGGGGTCCCACATTTGCTGTCCCTGCTGGGAGTACACGGCTTCTGCTGGGGAATGGGCTGGGGATACACCTTGGGTATTTTATATTGATACCCGGATCAATACTGGTTCTTTAGTATTGTTATTAATTATTTATTCTTATCCTATTAAATCTATTTATATTTCAACCCTCTGGTTTTCTTGTTTTCCTCAATTCCCTTTTCTGGGTGAGGAGTGGTCATTGGGTGATGGAATAATTGTCTAAACGACAACAAATTGTTATGGGTTTCCCAAACCATAACAGCTTGTGAGGAGAGAGGCATTTTCTGCTGTACCAGCCACAACACAAATCCACCCATCCTCAGATCCCAGTGGCCTGCAGCAGGAATGCCCCTTGCTGCCACCTTTGGAGCTGCTCTTACCTTGGTAACGTGGGTAGTGGTGGAAGTGGAGAGGGTTTCCGCAGTGGCACTGAATATGCTGGTGAGCATTTCCTTCCCAGCAGAGCCGCTGGAGATCTGCAGGACAGAGAGTGGCAGTGGCATCAGTGGGGACACCCCAGTGCTGGCTCCCGAGGAGCTGGGACCTTCCCGCTGGGATGCACCTACTCAGCCGAGCACGGGAGGAGAGAGGGAGCAGCAAGGGAAAAACAAGACACTGCTCTGGGCTTTCAGCTGGACCCAGGTTTTTTGAGGGTGCCAGGAAGAGGTTTCCACAGCTACGCCAACCCCAGAGCTGCAGGAAAGGGTTTTCTGCAGTGGGGAGTGATTTCATGGCTGCTTTTCCCTCTCCCCTTGGAGCAACCTGGTGTGGTGGGAGGTGTCCCTGCCCAGGGCAGGGGGTGGCACTGGATGGGCTTTAAGGTCCCTTCCCACCCAAACCATGTGATTCTACAAGCATGAACGTTTTTGATTCTAAGACAAATAAGACATTGTTATTGTTTGGAAAACATCTGGATAGCTTTGAATGTCGGGTGAAAAACAAACAGGGAAATACCTGCTCGCTCTTTATCTGAGACTCTCTGTGGGATCTAACGTACCAAAAGCAGGAAGAAGCACATTCTACCATCATTCTACTGCTGTTCTCCACACCTGGACCACACAACACTACGTCCTGCAATATACCCTTACAAGCCATGCCTGCCAAATTACTTGCACTCAAAATTTCTGGAATTGCAAACTGAACCACCGACATGCCCTCAGACACCTCCCTCCCACGCAGCCACAGACTATCAAAGCTGGAAAGCTCAGCAGACTGTCACCCCTGGGCAAAAGAGCCTCTACACATCTCATGTGATGTGTAACATCACGGTCACTTGTTACCTCGTGTGATGTTACCTCATGTAACATCACTGGTTACACCTCATGGTGAGGTGTGACAGAGTAACTGCAAGGGACGAGCTGGGACCTCAGCGATGGATTCAAGTGTCATGGTTCCAGCTGGGATGGAGTTAACTTTCCTGCAGCAGCTGGGGCAGCGCTGTGTTTTGGATCTGGGATGGGCACACAGCGATACCGCGCTGGTGTTTTGGTGGTTGCTGAGCTCTCAAGGCCATTCTGCTCCTTCCCCCACCCCGCCAGCCATGGGCTGGGGGGGCACAAGGAGCTGGGAGGGGACAGGGCCGGGACAGCCGAGCCCCAGGACCAAAGGGACGTTCCACGCTCAGTAGATAAAGCTGGGGCAGGAGGAGGAAGGGGGGACGCTGGGACGATGGCGTTTGTCTGCCCCAGTCCCCGTTACGCTGAGGGAGCCCCGCTGTCCTGGGGGGGCTGAACCCCCCCTGCCCCTGGGGAGCGGGGAACGGACTCCTGGGTTTGCTTTGCTCGTGTGTGCGGCTTTTGATTCACTTATTAAACTGTCTGTAGCCCAACCCACGCGTTGGGGTTAAACCAAGAGAGCATCCTCCTCCTCTTCCCAGTACCAACACACCAGCCAACGGTGCCGGTGCTGGGAACATGGGAGGGGGCCCCGTGGGACCATCCCCAGCCCGCCCCCAGCCCCACAGGGCTGCCTCCCTCCCTCCCCGCCGTGTGGCCTGGCTGCTGGCACCGTGTCCCCCCCTCACCGGTGAGAGGGAGCGAAGGTCTGTCGTTGGAACAGCTCCTTTCCCAGCCTTGGTGCTGTGATCCTGAAAGAAGAGCAGACAGTTGGTTGGCTCGGATGCAACGTGGGGGCAAACACAGCAGGTCTCCCTCCGCAGACATCCCCGGTGGGGCAGGGTCGTCCCCCAGCACCTCTGGCCCCAGTCGCCCTCGCCGGAGCAGAGGGACGGCAGGGGACAGCGGCTCCCCCACCTCTCGAGGGGCCAGCCCCACTTACTGAGGTCGCTGGTGACGTCTCTGCGGTGCCAGCGTGAGCAGTGGCCGTGGTGTCCCTGCCTGGGGGGCCTCCTTCCACCTGCTGGGGCAAAGGAAACCTGGTGAGCCTGGAGGTGCCAGGGAGGGGTGACACTCACAGGGACAGTGTGGCTGTCCGTGCTGCCAGAGCAAGCCAGGGAGGGCCATGAGTCCATAAACACATGCAGTGCTGCATGTATGGTGGCTGTCACCCTCTGGAGACATCCCCACGTGCCAGTGCTGCCCAGTGGCATGGCAGAAGGGGCCAGGGACACACACAGAATATCTCTGGGCAGGCTTTGGATTGATGTTTTGGGGATTCCAGCAAGACAAGGGTGAGCAGAGGCTCCCCACCGCCCCACTCCGCCTCCTGCCCTCCCAGTGGGGCTGCCTGGGGACAGGGTCTGCTGGCCTGGGGCTCGGCAGAGCCATCGAGGAGCAGGGCTCTGTCTGCCATGGGAGGACGGAGCCACCACGTCACCTGGGCTGTGTATGTGGTGCCAACCTGGTGGGGAGCGAAGCCATCTGCTTCAGGCTTCTTCACGCCCGGCCCCGGGACGACGGTAACAGCATCTGCTTTCGGGGCTGATGACTGCAGAAGAAACACAGCACGTCAGGCACTGGGGCACGACACCCACAGCCCTGAGTGCTCCCTGTGCACCAGTCCCTGTGAGCAGAGCATCCCTGCCCCACTCCTCCACAAGTGCCACAACCGTATGACGTCCTGCAAGTGTCACACCGAACCCTACCTGGGCGAGGAGCAGAGGCCAGGCAGATGGCCACCACACAAAGTGTCCAGTGTGACAGACATACCCCAGATCAGGCCTGATGCTTTGTCCCTGGGGTTTTCAGGGATTTTTTTGCTAGATTTACAGACACTGTGGGTTAGGACAAACTGGTCTTCAAAAGGTGGGTGAGACCCACCATATCCATTTCACCCACACCCTGCAGCAGGTTTATGATCTGCACCAGCTCCCGGTGGCTGTGGGTACACCCAGGCTGTCAGAACCTCGGGGGAATGGGCATAGGTTTAGGCTTCCAGCACTCCACGGCTACAGGAAACTGGAGTGCCAAGGGCTCCTGCACAGGGGACGCTTAGCCAATGTCCCCCCTGCCCAGTGCTGGCCATGGGCCACCGCGAGGCTGATCTCCCCCGCTGTGACCCCACAGCATCAGATGCTCCACACAAGCGTTTCCAGGCTGTCTCAGAGAAAGCTCCCTCTAATTCTGCAGCTTTTTCCTGACTCCAGCTCTGGACTCGCCCTGGCAGCTCCAGGCAGCGTTGGGGACTTACCTGCCAGAGCTGGAGGGCAGCCCCAGCACTGGCTGGGCAGGAGGTGGCACGGCACAGAGACAAGGCTACGTTTTGTCCGAGCTGGGGCCGGCTCTACCATCCTCTCCCTGTGGCGCACACTCAGATCCCAAACACATGCCACATGCGTTTTTCTCAGCCCCATTGTAATCGCTCCCAGCCATAGGAGTGACCCTCCACGAACTTTGGAGGGGCTCCCACATGCTCCTCTGAGAACCCCTCCCCGCCCCGGTGTGACCAGAGGGGTTAGTTGGCAGCACATTTCTCTTCACTACACAAACCGGTCACTGACTTCATGCAAAACACAAGGACAGAGCCGCTGGTTAGTGACAACGTGCCCTTCCCAGCTGCTGACATGCTGGAGCGGTGTGAGGGACAAGGGCAGGCAGCCAAAGGCAAGGGGGTGAAGAGATGCCGATGACTTCTCCTGGTTAGCAGATGCACAAAACACAGGACAGAGCCATGCAACACAGACGAGACAGCGTGCATCGGGGGAAAACAGCTACACTGGACAGGACCCTGGGGTGTTTGAAAGCCAGCATGCTCTTCCAAACCAGTGTGGGAGTGCACACCAGCACCCGGACAAGGAACACGGAGGCGTGAAGGCACTGAGACAGTCTCAGTGGAACAGTCTCCCTCTGTACCTCTAGCTGGGAGACATCTGAGCTGGGCTGGGAGACCTTCTCCCTGCCTTTGACATCCTCTTCCAGTCCGGCAACTACTTTGTCAGTGTGCTGGAAGGAAACCAGGCCTTCATCTTCTGTTTCACTCTTGTCCTTGTCCAGCTCGGGCAGGCTCCGGGAGATGTCCTCAAAGGCAGTGCCGTGGTAGTCACCGATCACTGTGAAGTCCACCTCTGCTTCCAGGCTGGAGGTTGAACTGACCGTGATGCTGGAGCACTTGCGCTCGATGGCCAGGTGGTTGTCCTTCAGAAAGACCGAGTCCTTCTCCTGGTCCTGCTCCTCATCGCCGGTGTCACTCTCGGGAGCCCTGTGCCGAGGTGGCTTAGCTCTCTCCTCCGCGCCCTCCCTCAAGCCCGCTCTCTGAATGAGACACAATGGCGGAGAGAGACAGGGACAGTGAGCATGGCACGGTGCGGCAGCGCTGGCAGTGCCCACGGGGGAGAGGGGAGGAGGAGGAGGAGGAAGAAGGCTGCAGCAAACATCACAGAGTAGAGTTAAACACAACTCAAGCACGGAGACTGAAACCTTTCTGACAGCAGTGACTTTGCAGGGGTTGGGGTAGAGAAGGGCTATTCAATCTGATGTTGCCAAAAGTCTATCGGTAATTCATTATCTCAGAAAAGGGTCAGTCACACAGAAAAGCTTGGCCAGCTTGGAGGCACGTCAGTGCACCCGGTGGAAGCAGATGTATGCAAAACAACAGGTCTGCTAAGAGACATTCAGAAACGGCTCAGGCACCAGTGCTATCGGATGGCAGTGGGGTCAGGCACTCAAAAACAAACAAGAAAAACATAACGAAGGGAAAGGAAGAGAGAAGAGTTTGAAAGAAAAGAGCTCCATCAGCCACACACGGTGAAGGAGAAGCGAAGGAGTGTGCCAATTCCACTGAGCATCCATGTAAGCCCAGGGGAGGAGGGCCATCCCCACCAGGGCTGCCCACCAGCCCTGGGCCGGGGGGGGGGAATCTGCCCCACCAACACAACGCTCCCCCTCCAGAGGGGGAGTCCTAGGGGTGACCTGGCTGAGTCTTTGGTCAGTGTAATTAACAGCATGATCAGAGCCAAGGGATCACCTCCCTCTGTTAGCTCTTCTCCAGACATGGCCATACCTCTCAACTCTGCCATCAGAGGGTACATTCCCCCTCACTATGCTTTGCCACGAAGCCATGGGACATCCAAAGCCATGCTGGCCTTTGGGAAATCTAGACCCAATGCTGGCCTTTGCATCTCACTCGAGGCAGCCCTCCCTTAGGAACAGCTCTAAGCCCACTGATGCCAGACGAGTCCCACCTCCTGGGCTCTGGTCCAAGCGCTTGCAGCCAGAGCCATCCCCGCCACGGGCCAGGCTGTGCCAGCACAACCTTCCCTGGGCACTGCTGGGAGGTTGAGAGGTATGAGAAACAGGGTGTCACACAAAGTCAAAGAGGAACACGCCTGTGTACATGTTTTCGTGTGTGTGTATGTATAAATATATACATAGCAGCTCTGCGATGGGGAGAGGAGCTGGAAGCACACAGCTCTCAGCCGGTTGAGGTGAGCTTTCATACTACGGTAAGCAGAGTTAGTAAAACAGCACTGAGACCTGGAAGACCACTGGAACAGCAGTTTTTAAATTCTCTTCTTTCAGGCTGGATTTTACTGACGGGTCAGATAAATCCTTTTCTTCCCCACTTGGTTCCTGAGATTTGCTCTGGATTAGAGAAAACGGTTAGTCGTAAGGAAATGAACTCTATAGGAGCTGATCTAGTGCTAACAAGAGCGAAGGAAGCTATTTCATCATCCAGCCACCAGCTTGCCCAAGACAGGGGAGGGTGGGTGAGGCCGGCGAGCTAAGCGAGAAGGGATATCAACATAAGAAATGCAAGGGTGAAGCTGGAAGCGTGGGCACGCTGCTGCTGGGTGTGTGTGCATGTCCGTGACAGAGTGGCAGCTCCTTCAGCCACCCCCCGTCTCCCTTCCTTGCTCCTGGACATGAAGCTTGGGTGCCCGCTCTCGGGTTTAGCGAGTGGCATTCTCCAGGGAGCCAAAATGTCGGGGGGGGGAGTCACAAAACAAAAGCTGATGAACCGACTGGCCAGCGGGTCTGCATTCAGCAAATAAGCCCGACCACAGACACATACATAAAAGGACAGGGGATGCAAAGCGACTGCTGTCAGTCAATGGAGGTGTGAGGAGCCACTGAACATGGTAATAAAGAGCCACACAACATGCGCATGAACTTTCCGTCCGGACAGTTCATTGGAAGAGTTACCACGGCTTCTGCCAGTGTGAGTTCGCAGCCAGAGTCGGGGGAGGCCAGGTCACCACTGTCTTCTCCTTCGTGCTCCAGGTCAACAGAAACATCTTCCTTCAGAGAGAGAGGCTGGGAGGTTTCTCCTGAACCAGCCCCTTGCCCAAGGGCCAAGGAGCCCACACCGGACGCAGGTCCCACTGGAGTGACCGGCATCGCTGGCGGTGAGGTGAGGCCTGTGTTCAAAAGCATGTCCTGTCCCAGACCCATCTTCCCCTTTGCTTTTTCTGATGTCTCAGCTTCAGGGATGTGCTCTTGGTCCTCCTGGGTTCCCCTTCGTTCTGCTTCACTTTGCTCAAACATCTTGATCTTAGAGGCCACTGAAGTTTTCCTGTAGCTCTCGCTGTCCTGCCAGCCTCCTGGGACCACGGGGACATCTCCGTGTTCCTGGGACACAGCTCCTGTCCTCCCGGCCATGCACATCAATGACCCAGACTCTATTTGATGTGTCCCACCACTCAATTGCAGCTCTCCCCCACCTTCACAGATCAAGGTAGAGAGCCGGTACGTCTTGCTTCCTTGACACAATCCTGCTCCAGGGGAGTGGGAGTGCGGGATTCCAGCAGCTTCTTTGGATGGAGACTTACCCTGCGGTGGCTGCCCCAGAGCAAGGTCACTGTCCCTGGTGGTTTCTCCTACTGTAGGGCTCCTGCCCAGGAGATCTTGTCCCACATTAAACTCCAAGTCCTGGGGTGGCTCTTGTGCTTTGGGATCTGCAGTGTGGAGGAGCACTCCAGCCACAGGACCCTCTTGGGGAAGGTCTCTTATTATGGCCTCAATCTGTTGTTCTGCTTCTTCTGCCCTGGGAGGCAGCTCTTCCATGCCAAGGCTTTTGTCACGGTACAGTTCTTCCATCCCACAGCCTTCATGTCTGGCCAGCTTCCCTGATGTGGGCCCTGTGTCCTGGGAGAGCTCTTTTATCATGGGCTTCTCCTCCTGGAGTGGCTCTTCTGTGGCAGGGTCTTTGCTCTGGGTTGCCCTTGCTGTGACAGGGTCCATGTTCCAGGCCACCTCCCCTGTGGCTGGGCCTCTGACCTGCATCGACTCTGCTGCAGCATCTGTGTTTTGGGGTGCTCCTCCTGCAACAGGACTCGCACCTTGGTGTGGTTTGCACATAGCAAAGCCCATGTTTTGGGGTTGTTCTTCAGATTCAGGACTGGTGCCTCTGGGTATTGCCTCCTCTGCTACAGGGCTCATGTCCTCAGGTGCTCCTTTGCCTACTTCAGAGCTTGCCTCCTCGTGTGCCACCTCTGCCGGGGGGTTGATGCCCTTGGGTATGCCCACACCTCTCACAGGGCTGGTGGCCTGGGATGGGTCTCTGCCCTCCGGCTCAGTGCCTGGGGCTGGCTCTGCAGGGATGGCGCTGGGTTGCTGGGGAAAGGCCGTAGGGTCGGGAGTGCTGGGTTTATCCCCCTCCAACCCCGCGGTGCTGTGAGAGTGACCCTGCCAAGGCACAGCTGATGGAGGAGACTTGGTCTCTATCTCTTCCATCTGAAGAACCACTCTGACACTTTCCTCCTTGTCACCACCTGCTCCAGTCCTTCCTGGGAGCCCCTCTACTGCCGTGCCCGTGCAGATGTTCTGGCTCTGTACTGGGCCCCCTTTCTGCTCCTCAGTCTCGTGGCCATCCCCTGCCAGGCCACATGGCTTCCAGCCTCCCACTGGGCTTTGAAGATCCATCTCCTCTGGTACCACCTCTTGAGAATGAAGCAGAGCTTCACCTCCCTTTGGTACTTCGCAGCCTGTCAGCCCCACAGGTGTCCTCTCTTGCTGCAAGGGTGGTCCTTCCTGCTGCCGTCCCACCAGGCTGGTCCCACCACAGCCTGTCCAGGGCTGCTCTGGTGCTTCAGCAGGTTTTCCAGACGCTGCGCTGTGTTGCTGACTGGCTGAGGAAGGGGGCTGGAACCCTTCTGCCACAGGTGCCACATGCCCAGACCCCTCCCCGGAGGTGTTCGCAGTGGCTTCTGGTCTCTCCTCTAAGCCAAGCCGTCCCTCAGTCTCTGAGAGCAGGTGTTTTTTACTGTCCTCCTCTTCCTCTGGATCTCCTAAGTAGATGATCCTCTGGGTGGCAGAAGTCTCCGAGCTGTCATCACTAGCCTTCACCTTAATTTTAATGAGCTCTGTGCCTGTGGCCAGCACTCTGGCCTCCTGCTTCCGGGAGGCTGCTGAAGCACGTTCCTTGGAGGCCGCCTCGTTTTCTCCCAAAATCTTAGCCCTTTGCCTCTCTTCAGGCTGCTGACATGGCTTGGGCAGACCTGGCTCACTGGCGGTTGCTTCCTTGCCCTGGGGCTCCTCTGTGCTCTCAGCTGGCAAGCACTCTGCCTCCTGCCCGGGCTCTCCCCTGCTTTCCTTCTCATAGAGGTCATCGTCCCAGACAGACTCAAAATCCTCAGGACTAGCGATCATTTTTGCTCTTGTCCGGGTATCCAGGGCTGCATTTGCTGGCTCTTCCTGGCCTGCCACTTCCTTGGCTTTCCCTACTGCCGTCTCCACTTTCGACATGCTCACACTCATTTTCACCTCTGAGGTACCTGCATGGGATTCTTCTTTCTTGACTCCCAGAGCTTTCCTTAGAGCTATTGCTTCCAGCCTAGGAGTTTCTCTCTCTATAAATACCCAATGCTCCGAGCCCTGCATTGCAATTGGAGCAAGAAGAGTTAGCATCAAACATACTTTACCTCACTGCAGATGAGTGAGTGACGGAAAGCTGGTCTGCCTTGGACAGGGCTGACTAAAGTATTATTGTTATTCATGCAGGAGTTGAGGCAGGGTCTGTACAAAGAGCCTGGCAACTCATTGATGGAGGGAAGGGACTGAAAATAAGGGGGCTGATGCCATGATGGGGACTTCTATCCTCTCCAGGGACCGTGTTTTGCTCTGGGCAGTGGCTCACTGACATCCTTGCAGTACGTACAGAACCAGGAGCAATGCTCCCAGCAGACACCTTAACAGCCACCGGGGCATCTCTCAGGAGGCAGGGGAACACAGCTCATTAGACCCAACTGGGAGCCCCTGCCTGATGCCTGCTTTCAGCTGGCTCTAGCAATCTCCATGAGCAACGGCTGAGATTTCATTGTAGACAACGGTCTATATTTTGAGTAGCTTCCCTCTCAGCTTCATCCATGTGCCCTAAGACTATGTCACTCTACCAGGAGCATGAGCAAGAAAAGAAACCATCTCCTGGCATCAGAAAGGCCCTTTCCCCTTCCCACCAGATGCTGCAGCTCAGATCCATTCCAAAGTCCATCCTCCCTTTCCAGGTCTCCAGGGAAATCTCATCAGAAGCAGAGGTTTCTAGCAATGCTGAAACCAAGAGGTTCAGAAAATATAACCTGTAAAAGGTTACCTGTGAAGCGTAAAAGAGGACCACAGGCTTGGCAGCTGAGACAGCTACGGGTACTGCAGTGAGGACCAAGCAAAGGTTGTGGAGCATCCTGCAGCGAGGGTGATACACCACCCCGTGCACCTGTGCTGCTGCACAGGGGGGGATGCCAGATTACTGTCACTACGCACACTTTGTCCTGCAAGACACCTAAAGACATCACAAGTGTCAAGAACAAAGCACTGCTAAAATTCATCCACGTTGGAACAGAAGGTAGAATATAACCCAGGAGAAGACAGCAGCAGGAGAACATTTGCACGATGAGGAAGCCCAGCAGCCTCCCCAGCTGTCCTACTACACACCAAGGGCAATGCTGCGGGCACGGTCCTGTGAGCTCACCATGGGGCTGGCTCTGCTCCTGCCACCACCCAGTGTCAATTCTACAGGCTGGGCAGGACCAACCCTCTGTGGCACCAGGATACCCTCCAGCCCCAGGGAGTCGGGGGCTGGTTGCCCTCTCCCCGCTCAAACTGGGAAAAATAATCGATGGGAAGGGGAGCCATGCCCCACGCAGGGGTGTCAGGGTGAATGTTCGGAGCAGCTGCACCCAAAATGGAATCCCAATAACTGATTATTGAATAAGGTGAAACAGGGAGTGGACAGGGAGAAGCAGCCGAGAAGGAAGGGAAAAGAAGATGAGATTAGAGGACAGAGAGAAAGGAGGAAAACCAGTTACCAATGGAAGGGCTTCCAGACGGAGGGGAATCAGAGATTGGTGAAAGGCCTCCACAGAAAAATGCCACCTCCCAGCCAGGTGCCACCTTCTTTACCAGGCGCTAAAGCAAGTGAAGGTCCCTAGGCACAGGGACATCACCCGGGCAGGCATGAACCTCGGGCCTGTCCCCGTGCCCCAGGCCCTGGCAGGAGCAGGGCTGCCCCCTGGAAATCCCCCTGAGTGCCAGCAGGGCTGTGTCTGGGTGGGGGACACCACGGGGGCCATGTCCGAGTGCAGCCTGATGCTGACCCCCAGCAAGAAAGCCAAGCCACCCCAGGACTGCCACGGGGACGGCACATAGGATCATAGAATGTGTTGGGTTGGACAGGACCTTTAAAAGTCATTTAGTCCAACCCCCTGCAGTAAGCAGGGACATCTTTAACTAGATCAGGTTGCTCAGAGCTCATCAAGCCTGATCTTACATCTCTCCAGGGATGGGGCAACCTCTCTGGGCAACCTGTTCCAGTGTCTCACCACCCTAAAGAACCTACCCCACTTTAGTTTAAAACCATTAAACCATTGTCCCTGGTCCTATCGCTACATGCCCTTGCAAACAGCCCCTCCTCATCTCTCCTGTAGCCCCCTTCACGTAATGGAAGGCCAACATAAAGGTCTCCCTGGAGCCTTCTCTTCTCCAGGCTGAATCCCCCCAACTCTCTCAGCCCCCCCTCCCAGCAGAGGGGCTCCAGCCCTTCCAGCATCTCTGTGGCCTCCTCTGGCCCCACTCCAACAGCTCCATGTCCTTCTTGTGCTGAGGGCTCCATGTGCACTGCAAGCCATGCCACACATGTGGCAGTAAGAGCATCCTCTTCTGCAGATGGAAGACAAATCCTTGCCAGGGATTCTGCCACGGCACCTGTACCCTGCCACAACCAGGTCCCCATGCACTCGTGCTGGAGGAGCCAGGTGTTCAGGAGACCTATCCCACGCCAGCTTCCTCCAGCATCACTCGCACAAACCTCTCTGATATCCCTTTACCCTGGGGTCCCAAGTACCATCTGCTCTCCAGGTTCATTTCTCCACACTTGCCTCCAACGCAGGTTTTATTTAATCTTAGTCCATAGAAATCACAACAGAGGCAGTCAGTGACTGCCAAGAGCACCACCTGGGTCCTTCACAGTTGGGTTTGACCCATGAAAGCAACATTATCACTAACTCAGTGGCTGCTCTGGGCCTGCCAGGAACCACAGGTTGGTCTCTGGCATTCCCTCAACACCAGTTCCTGTTCTGCAGCGATGCTCGTGGCTGACTCAACCAGAAGACTGCTTACTGTCTTGAGGGTACAGCAGTTTCTCTTCTGCTTCTGCACTCTGGTCTCATTGCTTTCTGCAGCCAAGGCAAGGATGGACAGGTTGTGAGCACCTGAACACACTCTTCAGTGAAGCCCTCTCATCTCTCTTCTCTGGCTGCACAGCAGAGTCCTTTAGAGGAGACCTTCCCTGGACAAAGATGACAAGTTTCTTCAGGCTCCTCTGAATTAAAGCTTGAGATATTCATCGTAGATCAAAAAGCTTTAAGACAAGTCTTCTGAAGCCTGGAACAATGTGTTCATCCATGGCAGCACCTCTTAACCAGAAAGGAAAACCCAAAAGCTCCAGATTTATTTCCAAATGAGTTTCCTTCTCCTAAAGCTTTGTTGAGATGAGCACAGCCCACTTCAAGGGGACAGCCAGCTACTCTGTGGTGTGATCTGAGCTCTGCCCCAGAGGGCTCAATGCCAGGTCCAGACACAGCTCTGGTTCCACAGCTCATGGCACCCCTTATGTCTCCAGAGCATGAGGACTCTTGGGGATGTTCAGAAAAAATATCTGGATACTTGGGTATGTCCTCCAGGAAAGAAGAGGACTTCTGGAGCTTTGGAGATCAGTGGACTGGCAGGACAGTGTGTGCCAAGGCAGAAGCTGAGCCTAAAAAGTGATGGTGCTGGGAAGGGTCCATAGTGCAACCTTGACTTCCCAAGCGATAATTTCCTTTCACATCTCCCCTCCATGGCCCAATCTGCTCTAAGAACAGGAGCATTTGGGAAGGCCATTCTCACTGTGACCTACACATCACAAGAGGGAGCAAGCTGCTAGAAAGGAAAGAAATGATGGCATGGAGCACAGACAGCTTTCTGCACCTGCCAAAGGGGCCCATAGCCTCGGCAGAGCCCAAGGCAGGCAGCAGTCTTCTCCCTTCAAGCATGCTTTGATGTCCCTGCCATCTCTCTTTGCTCCTCAGGGAGACTCAGCTCACCTGAGAGGAAAGCACAGGCCTCATGACAAGGAGGGGAGAATCCAAGATGTTGAGACAACACACTGGGGTGCTTTGTCACCCAAAGCTGAAGAGACTCTGGCACCTCACAGCCCAGCATTCTTGTCTTCCAGCTGGGGTGAGGACAGAGGGATGGGAGGGAGGGTGGAGATGTGTGTAGCTGGGAGTGATAACCCAGCCTCAGCGGGTCTGATGCCCATAGGCATCAAGAGACTTTCAGGCTGACCACGATGAGAGCTCCAAGCTCTGCAGAGGTGCTGTCCACATGTTATCACCCTCTTAGGGCCACAAATTCCTCATGGTGACCACAGGCCAGGAGAGGACAAGTTCCCACATATCAACTGCTGAGTCTCAGCCACTAACGCCTAGAGAGAAATCACCTATGAGGCCCTGGCACCCTGGTGGGTGGAGGGGAAGAATCTCAGAATCAAGAGATGTGCACGCACCTCACTCCTGCTCTTTCTGTCCACCACCTCCTAAACATGGGCACGTAAAGGGTCCCACTGCAGACCAGGAGATGCTGCTGCGAGACCAAGCTTCACTACAGATGCCTGTGTCCTTGTTGAAGCCTGAGGCTGTGCCCAAGCTCTCACTCACACCCCTACTGCCTCCTGGGGACACAGGGAGCCCGTGTTCAGGCTCCAGCTGTGCTGGTAGGACACAGCTGGCCAACACTGGCAACTTCTGCACTAACGGAGTTGACAGGGATTGAGCATGGAACCAGCCTCACCACTGGTCCCCCTGCCCAATGCCATCTTCCCCAGGGGCACCCAGGTAGGATGTGCACCTCAGCACCGCTGAGAACCACACGGGGTCATGGCTGTGTCCAACCACACCAGAACCGAGTCTCAAAGACCAGTGGTATCTTCTCTTGGCTGTCCTGGGAAACAGCCGCCAGCACGTGAGATAAACCCTGCATGCAAGCAGTGCTGAGAGCCCACATTCCTCACTGTGGGCACTGGGTGAGGACATCGAAGGCAGCATGACCCTGCTTTGCTCAGGCAGAAGTCCAACATTCCTGATGCCCCCTGAGATGCCCTATTTCAGGGTGCCTGGGCCCGGGGAACTGTAAGTGTGGCCAAAGTGAAAAGAAAGCACCAAGGATTACTAAAGGCAGCTTCTAGCTGCTGCCTGCTCACACCCGGAGTGGAGACCCACACAGTGCCTGTGCCACAGGGTCAGTGCTGCCTCGGGACCCCCCAGCATGGCCCCCATACCCAGCCAGCCCTGGGGGTGCACAGCAGGGCTCCACTGGGAGGTCCCTCCCAGGACACTGTCTCACAGCCCAGAAGAAACACTCAGGGGAGCAGATTTCACCAACAGCCCTGTCCTGGAGAGGGATCCTGCCCATCGCTGGGGAGGGGACCACCTGGGGTGGGGGGCAGCAAAGGGCTCCAGCTCTGCTCAGAGGGCAGGAGCCACCTCAGGAGGACAGAGGCACCCCCGGGGGGCAAACTGTGAGAGCGAGGGGTGGGGAGAGAAGGAGGATGGTGACAACCTCAGGAGAGGAGACAAGGCTTTTCTGCGTGAAAGACTCCATGCTTAGGGAAGCTCCGTGCTCGGATGTAAAATCGTCTAAGGTGTCCTCTTCCATCGTCTGTGCCAGCACGGAAACCCCAGCACCCACGGGAAAATAGAGAGAGAGAGAGAGAGACAGACACAGAGAGAGAGAGAGCACATGAGAGGAAGGAAGGAACAAATGGTGGGTGGGTGGATGGGTAGAAGGGTGGGTGGGTGGATGGATTGGTGGGTGGGTGGATGGATGGATGAACAGAGGTCACAGCTACGCCAGCTCTAGATGCTCCATTTACATCTCCGCACTTTAGATATTTGCTAGTAAAAAAGATGTGGGGTGAAGTCCCTCTTCTTCCCAGCGCTGTGCTTTGACGAGGGGCTGGGAACCCACCTCTGCCCGGGTCCCCCTGCAGCCCCACGTCTCCATCCGGCGCTGGGGACCAGCAGACACACGTGCACATCATGAATCCCCCACAGACAGCCCCTGGCCCGCACCCTCCCCACAGCCCAGCCCCACGGGACCATCCCGGGAGGGAACCAGGGCAAAGCGGGTCCCGTGTGTGGCATCCATCCTGCCTGGAGCCATGGCCACTGGTGCGGGCACAGGACTGGCTCCAGAGCCCCCACTGGGGAGGGAACACCGCAGAGGCCGTGAGCAAGCAAGGAGGGTCCCTGGTGGGGAGAGGGCATCCAGATGCCCTTGCCACACGCTGCCTGTACCGAGCCAAGCAGCAACCCCACACCACGGAGCACCCAGCTGCGCCATCCGCGCCCCTCGCAGCACCGAGGGCTCTGCGTGCCCTGGCACCCCCAACTCCAGCCCCCCAGGTGCCATCGTTTCACAGTCCCACCGCAAAGCCAGCCGGCACAGCGACGGGAAGGGAGGCCGTGGGTGCAGGGTGCCCGTGTGGCACCGGTCACCTCTCAGCCTACTCCCACCACCCAGGTCACAGAATCATAGAATGCTTAGAGGTGGAAGGGACCTTAAAGATCATTAAGTTCCAGCCCCCCTGCCCTGGGCAGGGACACCTCCCACCAGACCAGGTTGCTCCAAGCCCCATCCAGCCTGGCCTTGAACCCCTCCAGGGATGGGGCAGTCACGACTTCCCTGGGCAACCTGGGCCAGTGCCTCACCACCCTCACAGTAAAGAATTTCTTCCTAATATCTAATCTAAATCTCCCCTCTTCCAATTTAAAACCATTACCCCTTGTCCTGTCACCACACTTCCTGACAAAGAGTCCCTCCCCAGCTCTCCTGTAGCTCCCTTCAGATATTGGTAGGCTCCTATGAGGTCTCCCCGGAGCCTTCTCTTCTCAAGGCTCTTCTCCAACACGTCCTGGCTGGTGAGACCACCACAGGGCACCTCTGTGCCAGCGCCTGGTCCCGCTCTGCTGAGGACAGCCCTCGGGCAAGAGCTGCACTGGGCACTGCCATGCACCAGCCCTGCAAGGGGTGAGGAGAGACCCATCTCATGGGCCAACAAAGCCACAGCCCAACTCCCAAGTACCCCCAAACACGGCTCTCCGGAGAAGGATGAGATGTTCACTCCCATGCGGTGCCTGGGCACTGGGTTAGATCACCATCAGCAGCATGAAATGGTTAGCTCCTCACAGAACTGAAAGATAAGGCCCTGGCCAAAGGCCCCTTCCTCCACCCCGTATCTCCACTGCGCAATTTCCACCATGTCCCCCAGGAGGCAGAGACCCAGAGCCCAACAGCTGAGGAACACCTCCCCGTGAACAACTTGATCCCCTCCATAAGAGAAGCAGCAAAACAAACCTCGCCGGCCTTTTCTGGGGTTCCCTTTGGTGTTTCATCTTCATGTTTGGGTGAGGAAGAGGCTGGTGAGGAAGGCAGCCTCCTGTCCCGGTCCCTGTGAACCAGCTTGCTGTTGGGCTCCTTCAGGGTCCGTTTCAGCTCATTGATGCTGGCCTGATGCTTCAGCAAAACATCTTCTGGCTTGTCTAAAAACTTGGGGAAGGAAAGAGGAAGATAACAATGATTAAAGCACCAGCCGAAGCAAAAGAGACGAGTGGGGGCACTGGGAAGGTTTGCTTCACACTGGGCTTGAATTTAGGGTCTCAAGAGCCAAATGAACCGCGCGCCAGAGCACCCTGGTCTGCAGTTCTGACTAAGACCACTGCAAGGAGCAGCAAAAAAGCAGCACGTGGCCAAACACACATGGTGGGGCTTCCCTCCATGAAGGGCACAGCACACCCTTCAGCATCTCCAGCACGGCCTGTTGAGGACAAGCTAAGCCAGCTGGGGGGAAAGCGTGGGCTCTCCCTTGGGACCAGCAAGGGATGGGACCCTCCTGGAAATGCCAGCAGCCTCCTCTGCTGCTCTCTTGTGCCAGGCACAAAGGGAGCCCCAGCCTCTGCCCCACCAGGGCAGGAAACCGGCATTTCCAATGGAGCTCCTTCAAAGTGGGCTTTTGCCAAAGGGCAGGAGGTCAAGGGCTGGTCAGAGATGTCCAGCATGGAGCCAAGACTGGACCACCACGGAACCAGCCTTGGCCCAACAGCAGCCTGGGGTGGGGTGGGTCTGGCCTGCTGTGGAGAGGACAGCTCAGAGCGCTCAAGTGCAAGGTGGGGTTCAGGCGTTCGAGCATCGTTCCGTGACGGTACAGGCACCAGGGTGGCTCCCCTCGTCCTGCCGCAGAGGTGGGCAAACTGGCGCAGAGCAAGAACCAGCAAGAGGAAGAACCCTGGCTTCCTGCTTCAAACTCAAACCTCTTTTGAGGTTCGAAAGGAGTCACCTAAAAACACCTCCTTGGTATTTCTCCTCAGCAGCAGCCCAGAGACCCAAGAGAGTCCCGTGACAAAAACCCGAGCAGATTATCCGGACGCTGGAAGGCTCGGTGCAACGCATGGAAAAAGCTCCCCCCGTGGACCCGCGTGCCTGAGCCGTGGAGAAGCGCTTCAGGGTTTGCCCACCTCTGGGCTGGGGGTGCGCCGGGGGGGCAGCACATGCACATGCAGCGGGGTAAGCGATGAGGCGGGCAGGGGAGGGACCGGTGCCCAGCCCCCCGGCGGGGTCTGCCCTGCGGTGCCCAGCGGGACGGTGAGGGCTGTGTGGTGCCAGCGCGGCAAACCCCACCGACCGGCCACGCTTGTCCCCGGCCACAGCTCCGGGCGAGGATCCACATCCCACTGCGAGCGGAGGGGGAAAACCCCGGGGAGCAGCTGTGGATTTTAGGGTGGGACGAATCGATCCTGATGGGGGGGCCACCGCGGACACGGGAGTTTGTGCTGGGGAGGGCAGGCGTCCCTCTTCTCTGTGACAGGCAGCTGCCCTCTGGCGCGGGGGTGGGTGCCACGGGCAGCTCAGAGACCCGTTTGCCCCGGTGGGGTGGGACGGCAGGAGCTCCAGCCCGTCTCCATGGTGGGGAAAGCGGGGGGCTGCGGGTGACGGAGGTGGTTCGGGTCAGGCAGAAGCAGAGCACGGGTCAGGACGCCAGCGGGAGCGATGGGACCAGCCTCGGCAGGAGAGCCAGGGCCACGGGGGCCGGACGGGGAGGAGACACGAGGCGAGGACATGGCGGAGTCAGTAACACGAGCAGAAGCCAGGTCTTCCCAACGGGCCAAGGACTTGGCCGTTGCGCCTTGGGAGGGCTCTTGCTCACACGTACGATTAGGACCACCTTACTTAGTGGGATAGAAGATGCCGTGTGCGCGCTGGGGCACATCCCCAGCTCTCTGCTCATCGGGCTTCTCTAGCATCCAACCCCTCCCGCCCCGGTGCATCTTGTATTCCAGTAAATAGGGTGACACACAGTGTTGCTTTGGAAAGGATGGACAATATGATGCACCGATGAGGACTAAGATACTCCAGAGAGAGAATACCTCCTGCTTGTGCCTGGGGGTTGTTTCGTGCTCCGGCTGGCAGCAAAGAGAGGGTTAAAAGTAACCAGCAGGGTCAGTCGAGGGAACTTGTCACAAACATCACAGTTAAGTTGATGGGCTGGTAGGGCGCAGAAGGACCGGACCCCCCTCCCCTCTCAGCGTGGGGCTTAAATGGGCTGGGGTCTCCCTGGGCCAGCCCATGGGCCGGGGCAAGGGGCAGTTGGGCTGTGCCCAGGCAGTGGTGGGCACAAGTGGGCACCGATATGCCTGGCCTGTCCCCATCCCTGTCGCACAGCAGGGCTGCTCCTGGGTCCAGCCCTGCCTGGGGACGAGCCTTGAGACTTGAGGAGGGCACCGGGGAATCAGAGCTGAGCCGAGCCCCTGTGACAACCCCATTTCCACCGGTGAGGCCAAGAGCTGTGTCCCAAGGGTCACACCAGCCTAAGGCAGGGCTGGAGGAGAAAGGGCTGCAGGGACCGACCATGCCCCAAGGTGACCCTTCCTGCTGTAGCCCAGCCCTGCTGCCTGTGCCTGGTCCTCTGCCTGCCCTCTCCAGGGGTGAGCCAGCCATCCCCTCCACCTCGTCCCCCCCCACCCGCCCGCCTCCTCTGTACCTTCAGCTCTTTGATCTTCGTTGGGGTGGTCACCTCCTCGTCCTCCGTCTCAGACCGTCTCCTGCTGCCAAACTCACCGTCCTCATCCTGCTTCTCGCCCTCCGCCGCGGCGTCGTGGTTCTCGCTGACAGAGGCTGGGCGCGAGAACTCTGTCCGTGGGGGGGGAGCCGGGTCCCCCCAGCCCTGCCACCCCTAACCCCCCACTCCACACCCCCAGCCTCCGCCCCCCACCCTCAGACCTGGGGACCCACAAGCCCTGAAGACTGGTCCCAGGGGTCCCAGGGCAATAGGGAGCCAGGGGGAGCCCCGTCCCCAAGCTGCCTGACCCCAGCCCTGCCACGTCCCCCAGCTTGTGTGCGGCCTGAGCGATCGCTCGAGGTGGGGATAGACCCTCTGCCGTGGGGCTGCGGTTGGGGACGGCCTCCAGAAGGAAGCCTGATGGCTGCTGTAACCCTGCCAAATGAGCCCAACAGCTCACAGAGCCGAGCATCCCCCTCGCTCCCGCCAGCCGACCAATCTCCCGCCCCCTCCCCAATTTGGGGCATACCTCCGTCAAGGCTGCGAGACATGGTGTACCGTTTGCTGGAGGAGCGCTCGAAGAAGGGCGCCGGGCGGTCGATGAGGGCGCTGGCCTGCCGTGTCTGCGCCTGCGTCCGCCCGCTGTACCGAAACTTGGAGCCCATCACCAGGAAGCCCTTGGGAGGTGGCTCCGGGGACACCAGCCTAGGGGTGAGGGAGTGAAGTGCCGTCAGCCGTGCCCCCCAGCACTGCCCCCCACATTGATCCACTGCGGCAGAAGTATGTCTGCCTCCAAGAAGCAAGGCCTGGAGAAGGTCTGGAGAAGGTCTCCTCACCTGAAGAAGGTGTGATGCTCTATGCAGACCTTCCAGAGACGCTTGGCGGAGCGGTGGTTGGGCAGCTTGAAGCCAATGGTGCTCTCAAACTGTTCGTACTTGGGGGAGACAGAGAGACTCCGTTACAGGCAGATCCTGCCCTAGAGAACATGGTGGAATGGGACCTGCCTTGCCAAGGACCTCAGGTTCCCCTGGCAGGAGCCATGACCATGCAAAAAAAAAAGTCTTCTTCAAAGCAGTGCTGGAAAGGTCTGTGCCCGGTCCCACTGGGTGGTGGGATCACGCCCACGCTCTTTTGGCCTAAGCACTTTCCTCAACTGTAAATGGCTTTTCAGTGCAAGATAAATTCCCTCAAGAAACAAAAACCTTTTACAGCTCGTTTGGTGAGAGGGCATCGCTCTCCCTTTTAGATGCACTGTCCATGCCCTCCTGCCTGCTGGAAAACGTGGGTGGAAATGCATTCTCCCATCAGTGCACATAAAAGTGAAGAGAGTGAAAATGAAGTCAGAAAATGAACGAAAAGGCTTCTGGATTTTTTTTTTGTGAAGCATGGAAAACACATCAAAAATGGCCCTCAACCCCCCCTTCCAGAGCAGCCTCCCTACACCAGCGGGGTCACAGCATCTGGCTGGTGGGGGATGGCACCTGGGGTGCCCTCAGGCTGCTGAAGTCGCTTTGCCAGTGAGAAAATGAGAGCACGAACAAGAAAGCCCTTACTGAAAGCCTCCATACGCCACAGGTGTGCTCTCTTGGTTGGCCAACATGGTCATTAACTTGGGACCCTTGGGGCAAAGGCTGGAGCCAGGCGAGGACCTCCCTGCCAGGCAGCCCCACTCCAGCAGAGTAGGCACCCTGTTGTGCCCTGGGGACCACTGGTGCATGGCACCCACCTCACCCGGGCGGATCTTGATGTAGAAGTTGCTCCTCTTGTAGGAAATTTTGAGGATCTTGGGCCAGGCGAAGCGGTTGATCCTCAGCCGGTCCCTGTAGATGAGGAGGCCGTTGGCGCAGACGCCCAGCATGATGTCTATGCCCTCTGAGTCCTGGAGGAGGCAAGAGGGACAGGAGGGACTACTCAGCTGCCCAGTAAGAACCAGTTTGGCCAGCAGTACCACACTCCCTCCTGCTGGTCCTCTGCTACAAGGGACCGGCTGGCAGAGTGGTCACCGAACCACAGACTGGGTGAGGCTGGAGGTCCTCTGGTCCAATGCACAACCATAGGACCATGTCCTCGTTGACCCTTCCTTGTGGCAGGAAGGGGATGGGCAGGGAGGGGTGGGCAGACAGCAGGACAGGATGAGGTGTCCCTGGCCACCACTCTGGCAGCCCCATGGCCCCATACCTTAGCATGGTGCAAGTCCACTCCGTACATGGAGAGCTTCTTGGCGTTCTCCAGGAAGTGGATCTCCGCTTCCCCGGGGGTCATTCCCCTGCAGGGAGACAGAGAGGGGGACACATGGCCAGGTGCCCCACCAGGTGTGGGCCAACTGTCTGGTGCTTTCTTTGCCACCGGCCCGTCTTCTCCTGGGGCTCACCGGTAGGTCTTGTGTAACTCCATGATGCGCTCCTCCAGCTCCCGCGTCTGGTTGGGGGCGAAGTGGAGCTCGCTGACGTAGTTGCCCACATGCTCCTCAGCATCATAGTCGCCCAGCTCGGCCTGCACGGCGTAGGAGCCCAGCAGGGCATGCGTGACAAAGGAGCAGGGCAGGCGCCCCGTGATGATGTCCGCACGGAGCTGCAGGCACAGGTAGTATCTGCAGGAGGGGCAGAGGGTGAGAGGGTGCCCTATGGAGCAGGCTGGGCGTCCCCGGGAAGGGGCTGCTGGCACCCCCTTCGTGTGCTGCTCTCTGCGGGGACTGCCACCTCCCACGGCCACCTTCCTGGCCGGATTTAGACGTGCCACAGGCAGCAGGAGGGCAGCCAGACCCCAGACGTTCCCCCAGCTTCCCTCATCCTGCCCGAGCCCTGCCCCTCCACACGCTGCCAGCCCATCCCCTGGGAGCTGCTCCAGCATCTGTACCCACAGGTCCTCACCTTGTGATGTCCTCTGTGAGCTGGGCAGGGTCTGGAGGGTAAAACTTCACGGTGAAGGCAAAATTCCAAGGCCCACCTAGGGAGGAGAGAGAGCAGTAAGGGCAGCACCCACGCTTGCTGCAGGAGCACCCGGGCATCCACTAAGGGTCCCATGAGTCCCCCAAGTCCAGCACAGGGCAGGGACAAGGGGGCTCCAGAAGCTGCTGGGAAAACAACCATCAAGACACCAGCACGAGTTGGTGAATCCTCCCCAAACAGCTGGGGAGAGAAAAGCATCACTACTTCAGGAGGCGTCAGCTCAGCGTGACTACCAATGTCACAGCAAAAGCCTCACATGTCCCAGAAGGTGACACTTTGGGCAACAGCCCTTCTGCCACCCTGGAAAAGCAACATCGTGGGCAATGACACCTCAGGACCTGTCCCAGCAAGCTCCCAACTCTTCCCCCCATCCCTGTCCTCCCTGCTCTGGGCAGGTGGGGATGGTGCCCAGAGAGGGACCAGGTCTCAGCCTGCTCTCTGATGGCACAGACGGGGTCCTTTGACCCCCACTCCTGTCATGACTAAGAGGAGAGGTGGGTAACAGGCAGCTGAACAAGCAACAGCATCCTTGTCCCCAGGCCAGCTGCCAGAGGTCCCCTCCACGGCAGGTGGGGAGGGGACCTGCTGCAGGACAGCCCAGCCATCCAGGAGCCCTGTGGGACACCCCAGGGCTGGGGAGAATGAACCCTCCCTGGGCACTTACTGCGGATCTGCTTCTTGATCTCCTTGGAGGGGTCCAGCCAGTTCTGCAACAAGGAGACAGCAGGTCAGGGGGGTTCCCCACCACGGAGGGGGCGGCTACAGAGGGGACCCCCCGTGCTTACCTTCTGGCTGTCTGAGTCGCAGAAGGTGAGGCCAAAGTAGTCCTTCTCCAGAAGGTTGAGGTGCTCGCACACCATGTCAAAGAGGACCTGGCCTCGGGCGTGCTTCTGTGGGAGACAGGGAGAGGCTGATGGTGAGCCCTGCTCCCCTGGAGAGCCAGCAGGCACAGGCAGCACCCACCGGGTGCGGGCAGGGAGCACTGGGCAGGCTCAGCACAGCCCTGGCCTTCCAGGTGACCACCAAAAAGTGCTGGCAGCACTGCTCTGGGGACACCCAGGTGGCCCTGGTGCTGCAGGGATGGGCCATGGTCGAGGCCAGCCAGTGCGATGCAGGCAGCAGGTCCCCCAGTGCCCACCCAGCTCATCCCCCATCACACCAGGAGACAGTGACCCCAGCCAGAGAGGGGTCCAGCCAGCCCAGGCACCTCCACTCCAGACCCGTAACTGGGACAAATGCACCCCAGAGCTTGTGGCAGCCGGCACTGCCCCTGGGGCAAGCTCCTTCCCAACACCCTACCACTGGTGGCAGTGGTGGCTGGGTCCCAAAGCACGGCATGACAAACGAGAGCCACAAAGAGCCCGAGTCTCACGCAGGGATGCAAGGCACCCTCATTATCTTTGAGTTCCCCTGAATTTCCCTTCATTACCAGTGGGAGCGAGGCCCAGGCTTGCTCATGGAGATGGAAGAACAACTCCTCCCATGTGTGTTTCCCCCCTACTTACAGACTCCCAGCCTGGCAGCTCCCATCTCCCTTCTCCGAGGCATCCACTTACCAAAGCACCTTCACCACACAGCCCAGGCACCAAGTGGCCCGGCCCCGATGGCAACCCTGGGCTCCTGCTGCCCTGCAAAGCTTTTCCCACCCTTCCTGGGTCTCCTCCCTCCTGCTGACCCGGGTTTTGAAGGCAGGGGCTCACCCTTGGCATGTGCCGGGGTGTCACACTGAACGGTTTGACTCCCCTTTTTGAGTTTTACTGAATTAAGCCTTAATTAAGAATGTGGGCAAGGCACAACTATTCCTATGGGGCCCACAAGAAAGAAAGAAATGCAGCACCAGCCTTTCTACACCGAACTCTACACTCTCCCCTGTGCCTCAGGTGGCTTTTTTAGAGAGCTGCTGCTCTCTAAGAGTCAGCCCCATCCTCCTCACTGCAATAGCAGAGAGATCGCCCTTACCCCATGGAAGGACAGCCCTGCTGGGGCTTGCACAACTCTTCCTATGCCCCACGAGTCCCCCGTGGTCCTTTGGGGAGCTCTGCTCCTTTTCTTCTTCAGGAGGGCTTTCATCTTCCTGGCAGCCCATCCTCCCCCAGCTTTGTGACAGATTTTACCGCTGAAGCCACAGCCAGGGCTGCCAGAGTGCTGAGATCAAAGGCCCTGCTGCCTGCGCCATGGGCAGGGGGCCAGACCCCCCCGCCTCGGGGGGTTCGCTTGTCCCAGGCAGCTCGATTTTTGTATCGAGCAGGAGCCACACTCCTCGCCTGCATCGACCCTGTGCAGCCCAGAGCCAGGTCCCGCAGCCAGCGCCAAGCTGCTGCCCACAAACCCCCTCTGCCCGCCCGCCAGCAGCACGGGCAGTGCTCTCCCCAGCAAAGGCTCCGGGATTTCTGCTCCTCAGCAACCTCAGCTTTTGCGTTTTTAAGCAAAGTTGTCAGTTCCTTACAAATGTCCCTGCCACCAGGACACAGAATCACAGAACCTTCATGGTTGGAAGGGACCTTTGAGATCATCAAGTCCAACCACAAAAAAAAACAACCAAAAAAACACCACCACCACCATCCCCCCCAAACAGACACAAACCACAATCTCGGGCACTAGAGCATGCCCTGAAGTGCCACATCTACACATTTCTTAAATACCTCCAAGGATGGTGACTCTACCACCTCCCTGGGCAGGCTGTTCCAGTCCCTGACCACCCTCTCAGGAAAGTCATTCTTCCTCAGATCTAATCTAAACCTCCCCTACCCCAACTTCAGACCTTCCTGCCACCGCAGGCAGAAGGCAACAGCAGCCGCTGGGGACAGGAACAGGCACCCCTGGTGCAGGGCCACCAGACCTTGCCACGAATCCCAGCCTCAACTCCCAGTTCAATCCTGGGTGTCCCCCTGTCCTAGCAGGGAAGGTCCCCACACTGGCAGCGGCTGCAGCATCCCCACAGCATCTCCCAATGCCAAGGCAGGTGCTGGAGGTGCCAGTCCCCGCTGTCCCCTCCCTGCCGTGACAGCCACTACCAGGGAAATGCACTTCCCCACGGGGTCCCTGGCTTTGTGGGGAGGGACAGCGAGGGATGAGAAGGTAAAGGCACAGAGGAAGGACACAAACCCTCCTGGGGCAGCGGTGAGGGTCCACGCGTGTCAGCCTCTCTGCACCAACACGTCCTTTGCTTTGGGGACAGCCACCATGCTGCACTCCAGAGGTGTCAGCAGACCCGCTGGTACACAGATGTGTCACACACCTATGGTTAGGGCAGAGCTCTATCCCCCACCCCACATTTCTGCTTTTTACATGCTCTTCTATTGTCAGTAGCTGCCAAATTTAGATTCACTGGGCTGAAATTCCCTGTTAGGGTCTGTCTTTCCAAATTTTTTCCTTATTTTGAAGCTTCAACTTAAAAACATTTCCGTGGAAACTCTTCCCTAGGAAAGAGGTACTTCAAAGCTGTCCTCAGAAGAGCCCTGACATCTGGGACTCACTGGGTTGGGTCGGGTTCCCAGGCTGAGACGCGTCCCCTCCTTGGTGCCAGCGCAGCCCCCCTGACACCGGGACTCACCTCCACCTCGCACTCGTACTCGGAGGCATCGAGCAGGGTCACTCTGCAGAGGGCACTCTTCACTTTCTTGGTGGTTTTCTGGGGTGACTTCTGGGTCTTGCTGGGGGTTGTTTTGTCAGAGAGCCCGTCCGTCTCGCTGTAGTCCTTCTCCTCCATGTCTGTGCCCTGCAGCGGGGAGACGCACAGGGTTACCAGGCACCACTGCCAGGACGGACGGACGGACAGACAGGGCAAGCCCCCCAGCAGCAGGCAGAAGAGGGCAGATGATGGGGGAAAAGGTGGTGGCCTCTTCGGAGCCCACAGCCAAGCCCAGTTCCCGCCCCATGCCACCAGCACGACCAAGGTCCCTGGAAAATGGATGTCCATGAGCTCAGGGTCAGTCGAGCACCCAAAACCTCCCTGCCCAGCCGCCTGGTGCCGCAGGCAGCACCGGGGCAGCACCGTGCCCACTACCTGACATCGGGGTGCAGCCACTGCTCCCAGCCCTACCAGGGGCAACTCAGTCCTGAGAGACACGGGGCCACCTCCTTGTCCCCCCACCCTGGCTGGTGGTGCCACTTCCAGCACTCCAGGATGCCATACTGCTCCTCTGCCTCTCCTGCCCCACAGGACCTGTGCAGGCAGCTGGGAGGCAGTCGGCAGAGCCCACCCACTGCCCTGGCTGTACAGAGCCCCCCTCCGGGATGTTCCCCAAGGCCAACAGCCCAACAGGACATGCCCACCTCACCAGGGTCTCTGCACCCCTGCACTGCAGCAAGGACACGGTGATGAGCAGCGCAGAGGGGGTGACACGTCCCCTTCCTCTGCTGTGCCACCTTCTCTACCACATCTCATGGCACCCGGCCGTCACTCACTCACCGGCTCCGTATTTCGGGCATCGGACTGTGCCCCGGGCTTCTCATTGGCCTCGGTGTCCCGGCCGGCAGGGTTGGTGGCTGCAGCCGCCTCCAGCTGCTGCTGTGGAGCCTCCTCCTGCGCGTTCTTCACGTCTGAGCCCGGGCCCGTCTCCGTCGTCATGGCCGCTGGTCACCCCGCTCTGCCACCGCCACCCACAAGGAGAGACAGGAGGTGTCACCCGGGCGCACGAGGACGGAGGGTGGCAGCCCGGGATGCCCCGGCTGCACGGGCAGACATGGGACCATCCACGCACAGATCTGCTGGCAGGAGGTGGCTTTGCATGGGGCAGCAGCAGAGAAGGTCAGGATTTCATACTCATTTGAGGCGGAGGAGAAGAGGCAGCGATGCAGGGAGGGACAGCAGTGGCAGGGATCCACCACAGCCAGGGCTCGGGGCTCACACCCCATCCCCGTGCTCACAGCGGGGAGCGGGGCTGCCACAACCCCCTGCCCCCCCCGCCCTGCGGCCTGCAGTGCCCCCACTAGTATTTCTTATGAGTGGAAAGGTTTACTCTGGGAGGAAAAACCAGGCTGTGAGTGAGGTTAAAGGCTGCTCCAAGACAGGAAATTGCAAACATGGACAACTCCACATATTGCATCCGGGATGGCTGTTTTTTTTCCCTCTGGACTTCCCAGCAGCAGCAGCAGCACGCTGGGTTCCCACGGCCAGCGTGGCGGGACAAGACCTGCCTCCAGCTCCAGCTGCAAGATGCAAAAACAAACCCGGGGCCAGGATGAGAGGAGGGGAAGGCACTTTCCCTGCTGGGGTGCTCATTTGCAGCCTTTATGCAAATGCAGCGCGGGGCTGGCGAGGGCTCCTGGGAGGGTCCGTGCCCACACAGGTCCTCACACGAGCACCCTTTGTGACCGTCACCCACTGGGGCTGCTCAGGCCCCACCAGCTCCCCATTGCTGGGCTCCCCAGGCTGCACAGGACCAGCTGGGGTGGCCACCACTGAGTGCCTGAGGGCTGTGGCTGCGGCTGGACAAGCTGGCTCCATCGGCAGCATCTGCCCACGGTCACATCATACACCTTGCCCACAGAGCAGCCACACGAGCAGCCCTGAGTAATGCTGGCAACACCGGAAAAACGGCACTTTTTTGGAGTGTGGAAGCCCATACGGGATGTGTCTGGTCTCCGTTTGGGGAATGACAGCCCATGTGGCATGGGCAGGGAGCCACCTTCTCCCTGAGCTGCCAAAATCCAGGCTTTTCCTCAGCCCTGGCAGCAGCAACGCAAGGATGAACTCCCAGTGCAGCTCCAGGCCACGGACCCAGCCTACCTAGGGCTGGAGGACTTGCTCCATGACACACCACCATCACCTCCTGTAAGTCCCAACTACCTAAACACTGCTCTAGCAGGTATGGAGAGCAAGAACCTGGTCGGGAACATGACCTAAGGCAGGCAAGGAAAGACCACTTTTAGAACCACAGAATGTTGTGGGCTGGAAGGGACCTTAAAGATCATTAAGTTCCAACCCCCCTGCCTTGGGCAGGGACACCTCCCACCACACCAGGACACTCAAATCCCCATCCAACCTGACCCCTCCAGGGATGGGGCAGCCACAGCTTCTCTGGCCAACCTGGGCCAGGCTCTCACCACCCTCACACCAAACAAGTTCTTCCTGAGATCTCATCTCCATCTCCCCTCTTTCAGTGTCAAACCCTTCCCCCTCCTCCTATGGCTCCCCTCCCTGATCCAGAGTCCCTCCCCATCTCTCCTGGAGCCCCTTTAGGGACTGGAAGGGGCTCTAAGGTCTCCCTGGAACCTTCTCTTCTCCAGGCTGAACCCCCCCAACTCTCTCAGCCCCCCCTCCCAGCAGAGGGGCTCCAGCCCCCCCAGCATCTCTGTGGCCTCCTCTGGCCCTGCTCCAACAGCTCCATGTCCTTCTGCTGTTGGTGGCCCCAGAGCTGGAGGCAGCACTGCAGAGGGGTCTCCCCAGAGTGGGGCAGAGGGGCAGAACCCCCCCTCTCCCTGCTGGCCACGCTGCTGGGGATGCAGCCCAGGATGTGGGGGGCTTTCTGGGCTCTGAGTGCACGTTGCCAGCTCACATCCAATTTGTCACCCACCAGTGTCCCCAAGTCCTTCTCCTCAGGGCTGCTCTCAACCATCCATCTCCCAGACTGTGCTGATAGCAGGGGTTGCCCCAACCCAGGTGCAGGACCCTGCACTTGGCCTGGTTGAACTTTATGAAGTTCACATGAGCCCACTTCTCCAGCCCACCAAGGTCCCTCCGGATGGCATCCCGTCTCCCTGGCGTGTCAGCTGCACCATGCCGCTCGGTGCCATCCGCAAACTTGCTGACCTTCTTTTACACAGAAAGGACATCTCATGCCACAGCTCATGTCCCACCTCTGCCTTTCAGGTGCCCTCAGCACAATGGGAAGATGTGAAACCTTACCCAGAGAAACTGCTAAAACTGGCTGCCGGGTGTGGGAGGGGACAGCCAGGAGGGAAGGGAAGGGACAGGCAGAGGACACCGAGCGACTCAGCCTGTGCCTCCCCAGCCGGGCTCAGCCCTGTCCCACAGCCCGGCGAGCAGGGATGCTGCTGTTGGCCACACTGGCCATGCAAGTGCTGTGTGGTCACCACAGAGGGACCTGGCTGACACCAAAAGAGCCAGGATTTCACCCCCCTGCCCCACAGCCACGCTCTCCTGTCCAGAACCAGCAGGACAACCTGCCACCGGTCCCTGAGAAACATCAGCTCAGCTTCTCCTAACAGACCCCAGGGCTTGGCCAAGGGCAAGAGAAGACTTCAAAGGTCACCAGTGGTTTATTTTTTCCACCCAGGAAACAAGGCTGCTGCTTTTCCACTGGAAATTCAAGCAGCAGTTGCATGCTCCCCGCTCCAATCCCTGCGTGGATCAGTCCCAACCGCTTCCGTTTGGATCTCAGCGTGTGAATTTTTTAATCGACATCAAATCTCTAAAAATGACAACCATCACTTTGGGCCAAAAACACGCTGAGTTTTTAACTCAAAGTTCCTAAATTTTCTTCCAAACTGCTTTTTCCCTGAACAAGGAAGCACGGATCCCTGAGGAGACAATGGGGATTAATGGCTGAATTTAAGAATTCATCCCATCTCTCCCAGCCGGACCCATTTTTGCATATTAAGCTGCAGTTCAAACCTTGTGACAAAGGGCAAGGAGCCTGACTCAGGGGCCCTGAAGGAGGTGACAGCATGACATGGGAGTGCTGGGGTGGCAAGAGCCCCAGCAAAGGGGTCTGGCAAGCCCCCAGTGCAAACTCGCTGCCAGGATCCAGGAGATGTCCCTCAGGACATGGGGCTGGCAGGGAAGCCAGTGACCCTGGGGACACAGCATGGCTGCAGCCAAGCCCTGCAGATGTGCACAGCCCCAGCACAGGCAGTGTGGGCGAGAGGGGGTCCATGCTGGCACTGCCACACTCCTGGGCACAGCCACAACGGCCGCATTCAGGAGTCGGTGGGGTGTTGGTGCCATGTCAAGGAATTATGGAATGGTTTGGGTTGGAAGGGACCTTAAAGCCCATCCAGTGCCACCCCCTGCCCTGGGCAGGGACACCTCCCACCACACCAGGACACTCAAATCCCCATCCAACCTGGCCTTGAACCCCTCCAGGGATGGGGCAGCCACAGCTGCTCTGGGCAACCTGGGCCAGGCTCTCATCACCCTCACACCAAACAAGTTCGTCCTGAGATCTCATCTCAATCTCCCCTTTTTCAGTGTCAAACTGTTCCCCCTCCTCCTAGGGCTCCCCTCCCTGATCCAGAGTCCCTCCCCAGCTTTCCTGGAGCCCCTTGAGGGACTGGAAGGGGCTCCAAGGTCTCCCCAGAGCCTTCTCTTCTCCAGGCTGAACCCCCCAACTCTCTCAGCCTGTCCCTGTGGGCAGTGATGCCTGGCATTCCCTGCCCATGGTGCAGCTGAGCAGAGAGCCAGGGGGCACCTGCAGCCCTGCCACTCACCCCAATGCAGCTTCTCCTGCCACAGCAGGACCAGGGGCTCAGGGCTGGCAGCACCCAGCCCCTGGGGACTGTGGAACTGAGTTCCAGGGCTTGGGCCAGTAATGGGACACTGCCACCCTCCACCACAGCCTGGTCACCTGCACCCAGGGCTGCTGCAGACCCAGGCGTGGGAGAAGGCCACCAAGGCTGGCATGGTCACCAGCACCTTGACTGTTACCTCCGCCAGACTGGGGGTGCTCAGCACCATGAAGGCATCGCTTAGGGGTCCTCTGTAGGGACCGCAGTAGCACTCAATGGTTTGACCTGTCCCAGCCCCTTCTACACCCTGGGGATACAGATTTTTCCTACAGCACTCAAGAGCTTCAAACGCAGAAGACATTTTTTGATGGGAGCACCTCTGTGCTCCACCAGAAACCACCCCTGATTTAAAGGCAGAAAGCACACTTTCAAACTCAAGAGTCCTTCAGATGTGGTGCTGGTGGATATGCTGTAGGGGAGAACTTTGTAGAGTAGGGTTGATGGTTGGACTATATGATCCAAAGGGTCTTTTCCAACCGGAATGATTCTGTGATTCTATGAAACAGCAACAAGCCAGTCATGCAGAGCTCTCGCCAGCACACGGCACTCTCCAGATGCAAAACTCAGGTCCTTGCAGGACAGCCTTCCAGGAGACCCTGATGTGGGGAGCCACGGGTCAAGAAAGAACATGGGTCCCATTATGCCATCAAAGGGAGAATTTAACTGATATATTTGCCATCACAAAGTTTTAGAACAAGTTCAGACCACAGCTGCAGTGAACTTGAGACCAGTGAAAATGCTGTCCCAAATCACTGCATTTTTTTCTAAATATTGCCCACAGGAGGAGCAGGACCCAATCCTGCAGGGCAGGCAGCCTACCTGGGCTGTCCCAGCCCTTCCCAGCACCCAGCCTTGCTCACACGTATCCCATTGGCTCCCTTCTGCTGCAGCTGGACCCAAAATGGGCTGCGGGATCTTCTCCTCTGGGCAAACACCGGGTGAAATGGCTGGAGCCGGTCGGAGCCCCAGGCTACTCAAACAGGCACATGAGAACGGTGGCTGCAAAGAAAGGCTCAGCAGGATCAGAGGGAGATCTGCTTGTCATGCTTATAATCTCCTCCCATCATCTCCCTGCCTGCTCCTCCTTCCCTTGGTGTTTTCCTCTTCCCCCTCCAAGCTGGAGTGTGGATTCACGGCTTTCCCAGACGCTCTGCCCCCGCACTTCCCCAGCACATCCCGGCTCCAGTTTCCGCAGCAATCCCCTCCCAGAGCCTTTCCTTTCTCTGCTGCCTCCAAACTGGGTTTCACCCGAGCCTGCTTTCCCCTTCCCATTCACTCCCTGCTGCTGGGCTGGTTTTTGAGGCTGAGAATCCCCCCTTGCTCCTGGGCTCTGCTTTCCCCACCTCACTCCCTGCTGAGGACACTGCCCGTCTGAAGTGTCACTGACACAAACAGGCCCAAGTGCCCGTGCAAAGCCCCGTGGTGAGTACCCAAACACACCTCCACGGGCTCCAGTGCAACCGGGGTGCACAGAGCTGGGTGACAACCAAGCATCCTCCCATCTTGTCACTGCAGCCACCAAGGGCCCCACGGGGCTGATCCTGGCAGATCGGCCGTGCGGGGGGACAGACGGCTGCCACGGGACAGATGGCTGCCACAGAGATGGCAGGAGATGGGGAGCGAGCTGGACACCGGCTGTGTGACACCGGGCAGGGGGGTGCCAGTACTTGCCAGTCCCCAAGGACAACGAGGAGCTCCCCAGGGCTGCGGCACCCAGCACCCCTGCCAGCGGGGCTGAGCTGGTCGGGGACGGGCAGGACAGCACAGGCAGCACCTCGCAGCCCTCCTGGGACCACAAGAGCAGCCCCGGCAGGGAGGCTATCCTCCAGGGACACAAACAAGGGGAACAAGGAAAGCTGTCCCCTAAGCCCCAGCAGCACCCCTGAGCCCCCCCTGTCACCCAGCCCTCACCCCCTGGCACCGGGGGACATGCAAATCCCCAAACGGCTCCGCAGCGTGGGCAGGCTGCCTGTCTGAAGTGTCACTGACACAAACAGGCCCAAGTGCCCGTGCAAAGCCCCGTGGTGAGTACCCAAACACACCTCCACGGGCTCCAGTGCAACCGGGGTGCACAGAGCTCGGTAACAATCAAGTGCCCTCCTGCCTTTTCACTGCAGCCACCAAGGGCCCCGCGGGGCTGATCCTGGCAGATGGGCCGTGCTGGGGGACAGACGGCTGCCACGGGACAGACGGCTGCCGCAGAGATGGCTGGAGATGGGGAGCGAGCTGGACACCGGCTGTGTGACACCGGGCAGGGGGGTGCCAGTACTTGCCAGTCCCCAAGGACAACGAGTTGCTCCCCAGGGCTGCGGCACCCAGCACCCCTGCCAGCGGGGCTGAGCTGGTCGGGGACGGGCAGGACAGCACAGGCAGCACCTCGCAGCCCTCCTGGGACCACAAGAGCAGCCCCGGCAGGGAGGCTATCCTCCAGGGACACAAACAAGGGGAACAAGGAAAGCTGTCCCCTAAGCCCCAGCAGCACCCCTGAGCCCCCCCTGTCACCCAGCCCTCACCCCCTGGCACCGGGGGACATGCAAATCCCCAAACGGCTCCGCAGCGTGGGCAGCCCAGAGAGCTCCCCTGCGCTGCTCTGCAGCAAGGCCAAAAAAATCACACGAGCTGCTCTGCAACAAGGCCAAAAAAATCACACGAGCTGCCCTGTTTCTGGTGAAGCTGGGGGGGGGGGAGGTGGGTCAGAAACACAGGGTGTCCCTGGCTCCTGGAGATGGCACACCGCTCCTCCTCACGCGGGGCTGGCAGGGGCAGGATCTGCACTGCCCCAAACCATTCCCCAGCTGGAAAAGTGCCTCGTCCCTCCCCACCAGGCTCCAGGACCCCTGCCGGAGGTGGGGGGTGCACCCAGGCTGGTGCTCCCCGTGCCGGGCACCCACTGCTGACTAAAGCCCGGAGCATCCCGTGGGCAACCAGCAGCACCGCAGAGCATCCCGCCGCCTTGTCTTCTCCCCGGCGTGGCCAGTCCTACCTTGGTGCCAGGTCCCCATGCCGCCAGCGCAGCCCGTCCCTGCCGCCGCGTCCCAGGCAGCGCTTTCTGCAGAGCCGTCTCTTCCCCAGCCCCAACACCCCCGCGCAGTGATTGATGTCTGCACCGCAGCCGCAGCCCAAACGGCAACTGGGCTGCCTTCCCATCCCACCGCCGGGCAGCCCAGTGCCCGCACCGCCGCCCCTTGGCGTGGTGGGAGGGTCCCATGGGGGTGCTGGTGCCAGCCCCATCCGCCCCCCCAGCCTTGCCTGCAAACACCTGACTCATCCCCAGCCTGGCATCAGAGAGCCGGCGCAGGCTGCCATCCTGCCAGCATCCTTCCCTGCGCAGATGATGCACTTTAAGACAGTAAAATGTACTTTTAAAAAAGGTAAAATATATTTTAGAAGGGAGAATCTCTCACCAGGTGAGACCGCACCAGCAGGGAAGGAGAACTCTGCTCCTGCGCTGGCTGCTCAGCAAGGAGCTGGACCCACTCTACGCCCTCATCCCGAGTTAATCTGGCACTTTCCTGCATCACCCCCCCCATCTCTTCCATGGCTCCTAGGGCAGCAAACGCCGTGCTGCCTCCAAACCACGTCCCCAAGCACCCCACTTGCACTGGTCAGCCTGGAGAGGTACCAGCAGCGAGAGCTGAACAGAAGCTCTTTGATGGCCTCTGTCCACAGTGGGGTGCAGAGCGTGACACCCAGCACAGCCCTGCCTATGGGGACGTGGCTCCTTGTCCCCCAGGAGGGACAATGCCATGGAGCAAACACGGGGGCTGGTACCGCACCCCAGAGGTGCCTTGTACCCCTGTAATGCCACATCCCAAAGTGCCCAAAAAGCACAGCAATGACACCGCTGTGGCAGAGGGATGGATCCTGCCTTGGGTGAGCGGTGGGAAAGCCCAGAGGACAGGCAGGGGCAGCAGCAGAGCAGCTGCAGGATGGCAGGGGGTGCTCAGCACCCCGTCCCTGGGCAGTCTGTTGTGGGGAGCAATGTTCAGGTAGCCCCCCACCACTTTGGGCACACGCTAGTTTTGGGCACCTCAATCCAAGAGAGATCTGGAGGTGCTGGAGCGAGTGCAGAGGAGGGCAACGAAGCTGGTGAGGGGGCTGGAAAACAAATCGTATGAGGAGCGGCTGAGGGAGTTGGGGCTGTTTAGTGTGAGGAAGAGGAGGCTGAGGGGAGACCTCATCACTCTCTACAACTTCGTGAAAGGACACTGTAGAGAGGTTGGTGCTGGTCTCTTCTCACAGGTAATTAGTGACAGAACGAGAGGGAATGGCTTCAAGCTCCAACAGGGGAGGTTTAGACTGAACATTAGGAAAGAATTTTTCACCCAAAGAGTGGTCGGGCATTGGAACAGGCTGCCCAGGGAGGGGGTGGAGTCACCATCCCTGGCTGTGTTTAAGGGACGTTTAGATGCAGTGCTGAGGGACATGGTGTAGGGGAGGACTTTGTAGAGTAGGG